TTAATTCAAATTCAATTTTAATTCAATTTTAACCCTTTCCACTTGTGAATTGCGAGATTTATATGAGTTTTGCCGCCGGAGCGGCGACATCCGAGTGGAAAGGGTTAAAGAAAATCGCAGCAAATATATTGATATTAAAGGTAGTCGTTCGTGGTGATAATCTTAAAGTTGAACATCTTTATAATCTTCCTATGTCCTAGTGTGGTACATAATCAGAAATAATAGACCAAACTTTGGAGAACGTAAATTCCAAGAGAAACGAAGGTATTTGTTGTACGTAAAACTACAGAAGAAGACCCTCGTATTCCCAGAAATTACAAATTTTAATATCCAACGAAATTATTTACTATTGATAATTTTCTAAAATAATGATACTAATTTACTAATAATAATAATGACTGCAATAACTAATATCCAAAGCCAAAAGAAAAAATAAAACAAGTTACATGAACTTCCCGAAATGTGTAAATAATCGACTTAATCAATAAAAAATAAATTAATTTATGAGTGATTAAAAGTATTCCGAGTGGATTTATTACACATAATTGAAAACGAACCAACACGTTAACTCGGAGTATTTTCTAAAAGCAAATTTTCACAAATCGACAATTTTTATATTTGAACAAGTTTCCGTGGGACTTTAATGGTTTAGTATATGTTCATTAAGACCAAGTACTCTTTACCAAGCAAATCCTTTATTCTTAATTTTAACAAACGTCAAAAAACTACTCATTTTCTCAAACTTTGATGAGTTTTTAAAATTAAACCACTTGTCGTTTAAGGCCGTAGTATTTCAGTAAGTTCTATAAGACCATGGTATATATCGCGAAAAAAGTTCCATAATAAAAAAACATTTTCATACAAAACATTTTGAAAGAAATTAAACAAGTCGAGTTTTAACGTAATGAAAACACATGCAAATATCTGTAATCACAAAAAAATATTTTAATGTACAAATAAGTATTACATTTTGGTAAGTTAGAAGGTGTACAAATAATCGACGAGAAATTTAAAAAATTCGCGACATTAGTAGCATATATATATATATATATATATATATATATATATTTGTTGAATCACCTTCTCAAACAATTTGCTACTAGTGCTGCAGCAGCCATCATGAGCAAGGTAGTAGAAGGAGGAGGCGTTGGAGGTCCATTATTGCAATAATCTCTAGAGCAAACACGACATTTTATACCAGTTCCTCCACTTAATTCGGATAACTATTAATAAAAATAATTGAAATATCATATAAATTATTATAATAAGTTTATCACTAACCTTTGTTTCTAGTAAGCAGAAATTTCCATACGGTGCACAACTTTGAATGTACAAATCTTTGTTGTTTCGCCATTGCATGTTGAGTTCCATACATTGTTTTTCTCCTGCAAAGCAAAAAAATATTATTAATTAAAAAAGAAGCATATAATATATAGAGGAGAATAATATAAAATTAGAGGTTTTTAAATGTTTTAAATTTATTAACGCTGACCAGGAGCGCATTGGATGGTTTTATCACATCCTGGATTCTGGCAATCAAAACAATGGAGGGCTGAACATAGTCGCTGTTGAGGACCTAAATATCCCAAAATATGCAATACCGTTGCACCGATCAATGTACCGAGGCCTGTCATCATAGATATCTAGAAAAAAAAATTAAATAAATTTATAAAGCTAATAATGATTATATAAAACAATGTAAAAATATTTGCTCTCACTGTTTTAATGTTACCTTTATAAAAAACAAAACCGATAAATGAACTGCTTAAAATTAATATTATATAAAATGGTTAAATTTTTGGTACTATTGATATATATGATTTACATACTTGTATTTTACGAATTATACTTGCATCATGGATGGACTATGAACGCATGTCATTTAAAATTTTTAAGTTTGGTACATGATTGATATGTATGTCAAAAATATTGTAGATAATTTTATCTTTTGTTTAAAATCCTAAATTTATCCAAAACTGAAAAAATATGTGTGTATATGTGATCCAAAATTTGACCTCTCGGCGGTTTTCTTAGAATATTTGCGCCAATTTCAAAACCAATTGATAAAACTAAAAAAGAACTCACATTGATTAGGGGTATAATAATTAAGGACAAGATTTTTTGTGTCTTACGAGAATGACTATAGATTCTATAGTAATCTGCTATGATCAATTATGATCTTTCATAATGCACAATAATCTACTACAATCTATATCGAATTCTTATGATTTAATGTAATTTCTAGTGACTATGGATGATCATCAAGAACGAGCAACTCGTGGCCCTTTAAATATTTACATTCTAAAATAGAATTTTATTTTTGCTTACTTTCTTCCATCAATTCATTAATTAGAATATATTTTTCTCTTTTCTCATTAATTGTTTTATTTTATTTTAATGTTTATTGGTGTTCTAGGTGGACTTTGTATTAATAATACTATTGTACTCGTTGCTTAATATAAGGTGACCATACGTCCCGAATTGGCCGGGACAGTCCCGATTTTCCGCCTTGCGTCCCATCTTTTTCGAGAAGCAATTTTTGTCCCGGATTTAGGTGTTTTGTTCCGGATTGACCCGGATTTTTAAAAATGTTTTGATTGCCAATATTTTTTTAAATATATTTCAACTTTTTAGCTCAACAAATCCCCCCCCCCCCCGCCGCAAAAAGTATGGTTACCTTAGTTTAAAGTATTTGTATTTACTTAATTAAAGTTAGTTAGTTTAAAGTATTTTTAATATTTGTTGAAGATTATAATCAATGAAACCACTGGTGTGCCTGAGAAAATTACATATTAATCCGGTGCGTGCAGTGCTAAATTATTAATTAAACAATTTAATTTAAAATTTTTAATATCTTAAATAAAACCCCAAATAGCACTTACAATTAATTATTTTTTATAAAAGTTGCTTTTGCATAAAATGTGAGTATAAAAGTGCATTGCATCGTGTATGACGGTGTTTGGAACAGCTGAGTTTTGCGTTCAATGTCCGCTGAGGTGAATGACTCAAACTATCCCTACCTTGACGAGGTGGTTCTGCAAAGCAAAACATTGCCTGGTGCGCGTGCGGAGACTGGAGAGGCACCGGCAGGTACTCCCTAATGTCTTCGGAAAATGATGGAATTGCATTCATGAAGAAATGCACGGCTACTCCACACTCACGCTCTTGAAAACATCTCTAATGCAGTGTAGAAAAAATGATGAATAAAATAAAACTCCACATGACAAATACTTCTCTTGTATCTACGATTGCACTGATATACTGCATTCTGTAGCTCCTAGATTGCTAAAATACACTACGGTAACTGAAAACTCAACTAGTGGGGTGTATGGCATCGTGCCTTAAGACAAATTGCTGGAACTTCCCGTACTGTAATTAAAAATCTTGGTACGGAACCCAAAAAAATTTACACAAAATATGAAATCATTATTAAAATCTCTATAAAATATCTGGTAATTTGATGTACATATGCCCAATAAACATTTTTGACCGCCAAATTTTTTTAACTTATTTTTATTAAGAGTCCATAACCGCTGGACCTGCCTCCCCAAGAGTTTAATCAGTTCTTCATCTTGCCAATACAAGTAAAATGTTTTTTTGAATTATTGAAATCGGACGCTCCGTTCTCTTAAAAACTGAGTTACCGTTTTTGGCACTTTTTGCCCCGTGTCTTCGGAACGGCTAGACATGCCCTCGCCAAAAACTAATCAGCATCTATCCTTATCAATACGAATCGAATGTTTTTTGAATTATTCAAATCGGTTTATCGTTGTTCCCGAAATCGTCGATGAAAATTTGTATCCGCACACACACACACATACATCCATTTTTTTTAAATGTATGCCAAAATATTCAGAAACCTTTGAAACGTAAAGATATATAAAAATTTTCATTTTCGATTTTTTTGCGATTACTATAAAATACCCAACGGGAAGTTAATAATAAATATTTTTTACTATTTAACATACCTTTTTTATATAATATTCATATTATATTTCAACTTACAAATCAAGAAAATCTGAAATCCCCCTAGTTTATCCATTTTATATTCAAAAGCAAATATGAAATATATAAATATAATTAGATAGAGTAAAGTAAATAAGTGAACTTTTTTACTTCGAGAAGTAAATAATTATTTACTTCCCAAAGTAAAATAGTTCACTTATTAACTTTACTCATTTTATGCTTCCTCGACGTTCCAAGGCATTATGAACCGTTTGACACCAAATTTGAATAGGTATGTATGTGTTTGGTAGCTTTTTGCTTATTCTATGTTTTCTCGACGTTTCAAGTAAATCTGAAGGATTTGATCTCAAATTTGGAAAAAGTACGTGTATGTGAGTAAGAGTATGTGTATTTAAATGTGATATAAAATTTGACTGTGCATTTGCGTTAAGAAACTGATGAACTAATTTCCAAATTTAAAAGCCAATTGATGAAGAAGAATTACGATATAATTGTAGTGAAAACTTTATCGTTTATACATTTAACTATAAATGATTATAGTCCAATTATTATAGTAAGTTCACCAGTGAATTCGAGATACCCAGCTGTAAGTGGGTGTCAATACCATATGTAGGTTTTGAGACAACTTTTAGGGTGTCGATATACAAGTATTTACAGACTTACAGCTAATTTAAGCTTAAATGACTGGACTATTAGTCAAATTTATTTTAGTCAAGCCGATTTAGAACTACAGTAAATAAAAATTTAAATTCGTTATGCAGATTTTTTATGTTAAGTTAGTAGATCCATTAATTGAGATATAGATGTGTATGCAAAAAATACTTTGAACATAAACCGAATAAAATGTAATCTATTGTTATTTGTTTCTGATATTTGGAATCAGTAGTAAAATTACGAAACAGCTTCATAATTCAGTTTAATAATTTTAGATACAAATACTATATCGCCATCTGTAATGTTTGAAAAGTAAATACTCTAGACATATGAGAATATTCATAAATACTATTATACGTTGCTGTCAACAAGCCTGTTTTTGATGGTTAAGAAAACTAGTATTGTAATTGTAATCAGAAAAAATAATTAAAATGTCTTTACCATCTATGTTACCTTCTTTACGAGGCATAGTAATTAATCCAGTATGGTTTAATGTAGATAGTCCTTGCGATGACGAGGCTGATGTAGCTGGATTAGAACAGGAACATCAATCTTGGGTATGAATATCTGAAGCAATCAAATATAATGTAAATGTAAATCGGAATTATTTTTTTTACAGTTGAACTCAATCGCTCAGTTTAACATAGATACTGTACCTATCGGCAAGTTAACTATCGAACATCTTTCTGAAGAACCTGATACAGATGATGAAGATGGTAATGTATACTGAACGTACTACATTTGCACTTATTGTAGTGGCTATACATTCATTGTAGTAGATTTTCTCCTATTGTACTAAATTTGCACTCATTGCGACACTAATTTATATATCCCATATCATCGATATGCACAAATTAGAAATCTAATCACACCAGGCTACTTAGAACATTTACAAACCTTCAAAATCCTGATTTTGATTCCATGCTTACGGAAGGAAAATGATTTATAATAAATTTTTATTAAGTGATAAGTTATGAACTGTTTTAGGAAATGATGATACAGATGATACAGATAGTCATGATGAAGAAGATGACGAAGACATGATTTTAGATGTAACAGGTAGAGGTTACATACCACCAGAGGAGTTAAGAGGACAACCCCAAAATATAGCTGCACAACATGCTGTAAGCAGATAAATCTGATGAGGATTGATCATTGATCATGAACTAATATAGTAATAAAATTGATATTTTACTGTAAGTTGAATGTAATTGTATTTGTAGGATCTAATTTATTATGAAAATAAAGTGATATAATTTAAAATGGAACACTTTTATAATATTCATAATGCTCTTTTTATAATAGTATTTTATAAAAACAGTTGGAGTTGATCATCATACCTCTCGACTTTGATTTATACAAGAAAAAGGTAAGGGGATAGATAAGCATAAATATATTTCAATGCTTGCATTTCATTTCCTTTTTAATATAAATCAGTATAAAATATAACATTAAAATTCTAATAGATGATTTTTAGTGCCACAAGATGGAATTGCTAAATCATCTTGTTCCCTTTCAGATGATTCTTGCAGTTCTGTAGATATAAAAAAAAAAATTATTAACAATGGTTTTTAAGCATTTTCCTTGTCAATACAATGAAATCTTCAATATACCTGGTGGTAAATGTAATTTTTCAATACAAAACTTTTTCCTGCGCAACTTGAAAGCAAGATCCTTATAATGCAGAGATGATGGGGCCAATGAGTTAATAGATGCTACTTTATATACATGAAATAAGCCATTATATTCCTGAAATTTGTCAATCAAATTATATGTAAATATAATGTAAATTTGAATGTGTAGAAAAAAAACTACCTTGAACAAAGGATTTGTAGCCCTTTCACTGCCAGTAAATGATTCAAGACCAACACATATATCAGCTATATGATGCAATTTCAAAATATTTTGATCCTGAGTAGTATCGAAATCATATTAGTAAAATGTTGTCAATGTGAATCAATTTTATACGAATTTAAATACAAATATCTTACTCTCATGATATGCGCAGGAACAGATACAATCGCAACAGCAAAAGCAGATCTTATTAAAGCCTTGAACTTGTACAAAAAAGTACAGAAATTGTGGAAACTTGTACATTCAGAATTATTTTTCCAGAAAGGCGATGCTAGAGATTGAATTGCAACTCTCAAAATATTTCTATCAGCAAGTTTGATATTGGATTGTGTAGCAAAGTTATTGTTATCAATTTCATTAGCAAGCTTCAAAAGTAAATTCTCATAATATGAATTACCTAAAAAAAAATTATGTAGGTTATATCTAGCGCAACTCAATAAACATAACAAAATTTGTTTCACTTCATACATTCATTGTGCAAATTTTGATGTTCATTCCAATAACATATATTAATTTTAGATAATATGTTTGCATCAATAATTTTACTCAAGTCGAAGTTATGACCAAATACATTTCTATTTTCCAACTCTGTATTTATAGGATTTTTATTTTCATATCTCCAAGCAATTTTTAATGAATCTGCAATATCATTTTGTGTGTTTTTAACTCCTTGATCTGACAGTGAAACTGGTGCAGGTAGCTCATCCAACTGTAAATTAGATCATTCATGTATCTGTAATAGACATATAGAAAAATTGTCAGTAAGTTCAATTGCTTACAAGGGACTCGGTATTACCCTCAAGGCTTCCGAAAAATAGTGAATGACCAGAAACAGCACCTTCAGCTAAAAAGTATTTGAGTACAATATTGGCATATTCATTGAAGTTGTCTTCTTCTGCAAATAGAAATCAAATATGTATATTTAATATATATATAGTATATAATACGTCCTTTCAAAATTTATTGTGCACCACTCACCTATCAGCAGCAGAGTTCCAACAGCTTGACCTCCGCCTGCAGGAATAAATATTTTAACATAGATGAAGTAAAAATAATAATAATAATAATAATAATAATATATATATAATATATATATATATATATATATTAATAGGTTGTACATTGCAAGACATACCTAAAATAAAGTCAAGTGAAGGAATTCCAGTAGACACAAGCAATTGTGCATTTTGTACAGATGGTTTTGTTCCTGGTATAACTGATAATTGACGTGTTTTCTTAGTAAATGATTCAGAACCTATCATTTTGATTTAAACTTTTAGATGGCACATATATTATACTATGTGCCTGCAAAGAGTTGTAAAATGATCTTTAATATAATAAAATCGCGCACGCACTTGCGCAAAATGTAAGGTTAAATAATATGAAACTGAAGAGTGAAGAGTAAATTTGACAGATCATTGTGTCAAAGTGCGGTGTGAAGTTGCCTTTCCAAATATCGCTACGCGCGAATTTTTAAACGATGAATAATTAAAACAGATTAAAGAAGATTATAAAATAAGAGTATGGAATATAAACATGTTTAAATTTTCTTAATATTAGTATCACAGATAAGATTAATATGTTATTTTAATTTTATTCTAATTTGTTGTAAACCTAATAGAATAATAAATCATAAATCATAAATAATAAATCATAAACTTAATAGAATCTCGACAACATATAACATGTTAACAATAAATAAAAGTGTTTCTTTCTTTTATTAAAAAAGTTAAAAGTACAAACTGCATCTTATTCAATTTTGTTAACAATACAAAGTGCATTGGTTTTCACCCAATTATTATAATTTAAACATCGGAAGTAATATTTCTATTCACAGCTTAATTATCCTAATGTGCTTAAATAATTATTACAATAATATTTACAACTTCCAACATGTATAATCAATTTAAAAAAAAAATTCTATCTTCCCTTTAAAATAAGCCCTCACATATTTATTTATTATAATAAATATAAAGAAGAAATATTGTTTTATGAAAACCATGAGAAAATAAACAAGTATTATGAATGAGTATTAATAAAATTAAGTTCAAAATAATTGTAGTATCTGACTAGAAATGAAGATAGAAAATGATATAAATGCATATTTAACAATGATAGTAGTAACCTATTAAATAAATCGTCGATTTCTTCTTGCTTCTGGTGAAGGGTAATATGTAGCATCTCCATAAACTGGGCTATTGTCACTCGCCAGCAAACTGGAATTAAATCTGTTTCCTACAATAAAAGAATAACAACTTGAATTAGAACCATCATCATCATAAATATACAAGAAATTATATTTGAGTAAATGATATTAAATTATTATTACTATTATTTTATGTATTAACACAATTCAAAATTTCACTATATGAACAACATATAAATCTATGCCATTGATCTATACTAACCTATTGGTGATTGATTTCCCATACTTCGATCATGCAAAGAGCTTTGCCCAATTGATGAAGATTCTAGATTGTTTGATCTTATATTACTTTTATTAAATAATCCTGGATTAGATTTGTCTAAATGAGCTGGACAATTTGGATCACAAGTTATACCAGGATGTCCGGAACAGGTCTTTTTCTGAACTTTACTGGCATGGATATAGACAGATCCAAGAATTAATGCTAATATTGTAGCAAGAAACATTAGAGGGTATCTATAATAATACAATAAAGCCACAAGTGGACTTCCAGTTCCCAAGTAGCAAAACTCAGGAACATCTTTCAAATGTACAGGAATTTGAAAATGTTGATTTGTCACTGAGAATGTGATAAATATGTATGGTACAACTATGTTGGCGTATTCATAGTTTTTTACATAAACTCGGTAACGAATTTGACCCAGCGAAGCAGAATATTTATCAACACTAATCGTTTTTGGATGACTTGCTTTTATATCAATTGCATTCAAAGCCAAATCATGGCCAGTTATTGTGAGAAACGTACTACCAGTTTCCCGCATAAATAATTCCTTTGGTGTTATTTGAACTGGTGGCAGTAACTTAATGTTATTTATAGTAGATACTATAGATCCTGATCTTATGGTTAAAGTAATAGTTAATTCAGCGTAAACATTGGTAACTGGATAAGTAGATGATAATGAACATGAATAATGACCACTAGTAAAATTAAAGCTTGGAACAGCATATATTTTTTCTAAGAACCCTGCAACTTTGGGATCATCGGTAGTCAAATGGCAGCTAAACAAATCAGTACTTGGTCCAATTCTTGGTTGCATTTTTTGAACAATGTCCTTATTGCAAACTAAATTTGATGACCTATTTTGCCCTTCTGCATTAAGAATAAAATTAACATTCATCATTTCTCCTGTAAAATAAAGCATTTCAAATGGAACCAAAGAAATAACTTTTACGGGTTGAATGGTCACATCAACTTTATAAATTGTGATATCATTCAAACTAAACATTATTGTCGCTGATGAAGTTGTTTCTTTTAACATGCGGGCAATACCAGTTTTGGCATCTATGTCTACTACTGAAGGATCTGAAGAAAACCAGTAACCGTTATCAACTGTTAATTGTGTGTTGAAACAAATAACATCTCCAACAGTAAATGAACTGTGGTTTGAAACAGGTGAACGCGAGTCACTCACAGTTAATTTTATATAATCAATTAATTGCTTTCCATCTCCACTTTTAGAAACCATTAACATTGTATCTCCTGATAAAAGTAAATCAACTTTAAAAGTCTTATTATCAGGTCTAAGAGCTATATTGGCCCGGTCTATTCTGTTTATTTCAATACTAGGTGCCCATGAACTAGCATGCATTTTTCTTCCTAAGTTATCATGATAAGTTAAAGCCATTGTTAAACTCAAACCACGAGGCAACTTCTTGCTTCTTTCCGACAATTTCAAAGGAGATAAAATGTCAGTCATTATATAATGCACAGGCTTACATTCAACTGTAACACCTAAAGCTTGTTGGGCCCCATTATCTTCTTTGGTTGTAATTACAAGTAACCCCATACCTGGAACTTTGGATTCCAATACTCCAGTTTTACTAACGGTCAACTCAGATGGTATATTTGAGCCATGAGATTCCCAGCTTTGAATAGAATATGTAATACGGCTTCTAGTTTGTTTATTAGTTTGGAGATTTATTTTAGTATCTGGAGCAATTAAGATATAATTGTTTGTTAAAGACGGAAAAATCAATTTCAAAGGTGTAATTACTTCCAAATCAATAACAGAAGTGAGAACATTATCATTTCTCCAAATTCCAACTGATACTGGAACATTCATATTAGCTTTAATTTGAACTTTACCAGGTCTTACAGCTACAACACGTACACTAATTTGATTCGAATCATCAAAGTCTATACCAGTGTTATGAAACACATTTCTGATACTTGCAACACCAGCATCGGGACCAGTAATTTCCCAAACAACTTTCAATGGAGGATTTCTAGATCCTAATATCATTGGGCTTATAGAATCGGGAGATCCACTAATCCAGAAAGGAATAATAGCTCCAACCTCAGCTTGAACCAAAGGTGTGTGAATTTTGATTCCAGATAATGGTATAACATAAACATCAACAGTATCTTGGGAATATGTTACCATTGTCCCCATGGATGGATTAAAACCAACTGCTCTTGCAGATATTCTTGTATGACCAATTGCAAGACCTGTTACTATCCCAGATTTTACTTCAGCTATTTTATCTTTGTCAGTAATAAATTCTACAGACATATCAATACTAGGGCCACCTGTAAGGTGTATCTGCATGCTAGATCCAACTATCAATGTCATGTTTCTAGGAAACACTTTCAATGGTGCAAATACTTGCACTTTTAACGGGTCACTTTCAACTTGCCTATTTTCATATCCAGACTTAAATAGAAGTTTAGTATCACCAATTTCTAAACCAGTTACGATAAAATGTACTTCTCCTGTGCCCCATGGCTCTAAAGGATCCCTAGGTGCCATTTTGACATGAACAATATCACTGTCCAAAACATGGCGTAGATTAAGCAGATGTTCTTCCGGTAAAGGCATAAGTTCATCAAACTCATCAAGTAATTTAACAATAGCCTTTATGCATTGACCTTTTTCAACTCGATCTGGCATATCTACCAATATTGTATGTATTGAAACAATATTTATGAACAAAGATGGAGTTTGAGATGAAAGACATAAGTCAACTAAATCTACTCGCAATCTACCTTTGTTCTTTGGTTGAATTGTCAATTCATGCTTGCTAACATCAAAACTTACTTTAGCTACATCCTCACTAGTTAATTGGAGTTCAAAATACCCTGAACCTTGACTAACAGTAACTTTTCCCTTATTATTTGGGTGGTTAAACAAAGTTATATTATTTGGAATTACTTCAGTATCACTTGAGAGATATAAAGTAATACTATCATGAATCAGTGGCGTTTCAAGTACTCCTCTACTATTTTCTATACCAAACTCAGGCCATTCTGCAGTGATATGCAATTTTTTCAAAATATGGGTTTTATATGTTCGTATATTACAATGAACCTTTAAGGTACCCGATTTTCCACGAGTTGGAAGAATTTGTAGAAATTTGTCTGGAACTTCAACACCATGAACAAGTTTCACCGGTGACTGAAAATCAGTAAGCTCGGTACATGAACTTAACTGGCATGGATCTATATTCCAATCAAGTTTGAGTGAAGACACATTATCAAATTTTCTACCTAAATTATCTCGTACTTCTATTTCAATTTGAATGTCTTTATAATTGTGCTGAACGACAGATTCAGAATTAACATCCATGGGACAAGATGTTGGATCACGACTATTTAAAACAGGTACTAAATGTACTGATCTAGGTTTGGCACATAAAACTGAAATCTTTGTTTCAGAAAATTTGTGGTGGCAATTAGGTAATGTTGGCTTGTTCCCCACTGAAAATGTCAATGTTTGTACGCCAATCTGTAAGTATGTTACTCATTTATTTCACAGAGGTATATGTGGCTGGGATAATAATATAATAAAACAAAATATAACAAGAAACATACCTCTTTACATAGGACATTATAGACATAAATTCCAGATCTTCCAGCTGAAGTGTACTCAATATTTTCCAACACTTGTATTTTCCCACTACCATCAGAATCAACAGAATAAACATGTTCAGTTGGTCGTCCCAACCATGGTCTTGGTCCACCTGGATTTTATAAATTTTTAATAATAATGTTTTCAATTTGATAAGTTAATAATAAGTTTGTTTACCTGAAAATATTACATTTCTAGAAGACCCAACAGCTAAAACTGTGTATGCTGAGACAGGTTCTATAACTTCTAACGGTTTGAAAGCAGAGACCATAATAGTATCATTAACATTTTTTCCATTGGGTAAATCATAATAAACAGATACTTTGCATACACCGGGAGATGTTGCTTTTATTGTTAATGAGGCACATGAGATTCCTATGAATGAAAATAAAAAAACAAATAATTAAATAAAGAGTAATAAAATATAATTACATGCTTTTTCTTGTTTTAGCATTATTTAAACTTTCATAATTCATAATATACAATTAAGCATAACTAAATAATACCTTATGATAGAAAAAAATATTATAGATTAATGTAACCTGAACAATTACAGATCAATATGTTTTGATATTTATATTTCTTCTAAAGTATAATAATGTCACTGTTATTTCTACTTGTTAATAGTGATTGTAAACTTAGTTACCGATTGTGCTTGGTTCCGGTTTGCCTGAGCCACCAACAACAAAATTATCTTCATCAAAGTCTACTCGCAAAGGCAGTGTATAGCAATCAGAAAAAGGTAATTTATCACCAATTGGTACATCATTCGACTCGCTAGGCTGCTTCATTCCAAATAATGCAACATGTAGATTTAATTCAGAGCCCACTGGTACTTCCAAAATATAATCAACTATTTGCAAATCCATGGGTGTAATTACATAAACACTGAAAATAAATATTAGAAAATAATTTGATATGTAATAACAAACTAATTTATAAACTAAAATACGAAATTCAAATTTATAATTCAGAAAGTAGAACACATTGAAAATGATAATATATATGTAAGTTTATTATAGAATAATTAAGAAATTATTTTTGTTATAAGATTGCTGTATAATATACACTGTAGCAGTATAATTGTCTGTAAGATACTGTATATATGAATTATATCAATAAAAAAATCTAAAAAATGTAAAAATGAATTAAAAATATTTGTAATACTAACTCTGCAGTTTCATAATTTTGTGAATTCCTGCTCATAGCTGCTTTGATTTTGCTGTAACCAAGGTTTAAAGAAGTTATGAGACCATGTTGAGACACTGCAACGGTGGATGGATCTTCTGAAGACCAAATAAAATCACCATCTCCGCCAGAAGCTTCCATTTGAACCTCAAATCTGGTTGGTTGAAATGAAAATTATTAGATAACAATTGTAACAAATGTATTGACTGCATGTATCTATATTATAAGAAATAAGTATACCTTGAACGAATTAGAGGATCCCATGGCAATATAACTTCAGGAGGTATAAGGCTTATTTGATCATATATCAACATTTCAGCCGTCGCTACTAACTGAAATTCATATACAGAAGTAATAAAATAATTTAATTCAAAGTAATTTTGATCAGTTTATGTAAAAACATTTACTTTTTTGTAAAACATTTTTTGTAAATACATTTTGTGAATAATACATACTTTAGATGGCCGGTAAGTCTTTCCATCAGGTGCTGCAATATGTAAAAGCTCAGCATACACTTTTGTTGAACCTCTTTTTAAAGGTATACCTTCTACGAAACTACCATTGATAGTTGAACTCACAATATTGAAGAGTTTCTCGTCAACACTTATTTTTATTCGAACTCCTTCACCAATATGAATTTTTTGATCCTCACTAAAAGAAGTTTGTTATTCAGTTTTGACTATTAGTTTTACTTAAATTGAAAGTATAATGTAATTTATTACTTTACCTAGTATATAATTCTGCAGTAATAATATATTTTTTTCCCACAATGGTTATCCAATTATCATATGGTTGCAGAGTTAGTCGAATTTTATCAGGGTGAGTTACAATTACTTTTCCCTCTGGCAACTTTGGTATATCAACACCAATGGTTTCATCCATAATTTTGGAATTATGATCTTTAACAAATACTTTAGACTCTCCATATTTTACTCCAGTCACTATTAAACATATTATCAACATTAAATAATATTTCACATACAATAAAATAAATATAAATAGATCAAGTAAAATTATATAGTTATAATATTCAGCAATAGATAATTGAATCATGTTACCTAGAGCATTATCTAATTTAATAATCTCATCATCCTCTGCTTCCAAATAATATTGCCCATGCCTTAAATCCACTTTATGAATACGTCCCTTTCTTACTTGTAAGACCTGTAAAAATATTGTATCGCCTTGTGTTAGATAGACTTCTGCAGGTTGCAATAACAAATTGGCAACAACTAGTAATGGCACTTCGAGCGGTTTTAAATGACTATATTCTGGTTGAGCCAATTTTACTACTACCTAAAAATAGAAAAAATGAATTAAACAAAATCAAAATATTGGTAGATCAAGCTATTAGAATAGTTGAATAAAAATTGAACAATTTTGTGTTTCTCAACTTTCTTCATAAATAATTAACTATAAGCATAATTAACATAAAATTAAAACTCACTTTTACAGAACCAGTATTTAATCCTTCTAGCAAAGCAATATGACCATACTTCCCTTGACCATCAAAACATAACACAGAGCTTGGAGTCTCATAAGGACTATTCATAAAAGGCGTTATTTGAACAGAACCGACAGATGGGTTATCAGCATCTGTATCATATGGCATTCGAGATATCACATTTTGTGATACCGACCATGAAAACTCCACTCCCTCTAATGTAGTAAATTTATTTCCTGCAAAAATGTTAATATTTTATTACTTGTCAAGTAATTGATGATTTGTTGAGATAATAATATGTTTAGATTTATTCACTAGATATTATTTTGCAAATAAAATAGTAATTTCATTTACTTACCCTGAGCATCATAAGCCTCTACTTCAAATGCTTCAGGTGCTTCTTCAACAAATAATTCTCTGGTTGTCGTGGCTATCCCTAGGTTATGTATGGTGTCTAAAATTACATCACAACGCAACACCTAGCAAAAATAATTATGTTATTTATAAAACAATAGACTTGTATTTTTCAATAAATTAAGTATATACTAAATAATTCAATTTGAAATATTTTTGAAAAGCTTCATGAATGATATAACTTTCATAAGTTATAGTAGCAAATTTAAACACAAAATTTATGATTATTATCGAATTTTCAATAGTAAATGAAATGGCAAAAAGCGAAAAAGAAACTATTGAATTTTTATAAATAAAATAGCCTACAGCCTAACTTATGGTAATCGGGTGTTAATACAATATATATATATATATATATATATATATATATATATATATATACATATTATAAGGAGGCATATAGCATTGAAAGTACATATGCATATAATTTTGCAAATATTTATATATAAAGTTTATAATATAGCAATCTAGTAAATAGTTTACATTTTTCGTAATAATATCTTCAGCAAGGACAATGGCTGTACTCCTGGATTTTTCTCTTGAAATAGCAGTAAGTACTGCTCTGGTAGAGCACCCCAATTTTCGGTCGGTTTTCTCAGTTTGTAACATAACCAAATCTAATCTCGAAACCGTCCTGAAATGTTTATTTTATTTTTAAACTTTTTCCCAAGATTTTCTTTCAAGATCTTTTATATACATCGAATTTTTAATGTTATATATTTAATTCATTTTTTCGTGTACCATCTATAGCAGCCGCCGTCCGTTATTTCCAGTGTAAAGTTTATAAGCACATTATTGAAAACGGGTAATAATACTCTGGGTACATTTAATTTTGCGCCATTTGCGATTTGGAAAATTATAAATATCACGCTCCATTTAAATACATCTTTTAGGAAAATCATTGTATGTATTTAAATATTTTAAAGCAACACATAACCTAACACTTTTGAAACTTCTTTCATATGCAAAGATTAGAATTAGATGCGCTGTTGCATACATTGAATTAAAATCTTGTGGTTGGTACGTTCGCTCTTCAAAACATCTATTAGTATTTCTTTGGCGGAATTTTTGAAATGCTGATTTAGCATAACTATATCTACATTTTAATGAATATAGTTAAAAATGTAAAAATACTTATGAAAATGTGAAAAAAACTTTTTCCGACTCATTAACTTCGCATTTTTTTTTTAACTTATACAGCATGAGCTATAATTTAATTTGGAAACTTGCTTTATTTGTCTATAACCTATTAACATACATAAATAATATATTTTTATTAGAAATTTTTATGCAAACAATATTTTTTGTTGTTTAGTCATCTCTAAGTCACTGCTTTCAAATCACTAAAAAAAAATTTAGACTTGTATAAAATAAACATCGTCTTTAATATATAAATAAATATTATAAATATAAACTTCTTTGTAAAACAGATAAAAACTAGATTGATAAATAATGCCTAATTGATTTACATATGTACAATTATTTGATGGTTTCTTTGTCATCTCTTTGGGCAATCATCAAAGCAAATTTGACGACGAGCTTTTACTTTAGGATCTAAAATATTGTTTTCGAGATTTAAGCTTTTGTCTTGAAGAACACTTTTGGCAGGTGAAATATTGCTGCTCATTGATGAATAGTTGGAAACAAAACTTGAATTAGTGTGATGAATTAATGTATTTGCAGTAGCTTTTGTATCCTTAATAATCGGCTTGATTAATCTTTGATTTAGAGCTGAAATTTTATTTTGCTCATATTCGGACAATGGTACATATCCAGTTACTTTAGAACTTGAGGCTTTTGCTTTTCGTATATGTTCTTCTATAATGATTTCTTCTACTGTTTTACCCTTGATTACTGAGAAAACATGTAACTTTGCTAACCTGCAAACATGGTAAAGACAATTTAATGTATTTCATAACCATTGTAAAGACATTGATAGATAGAGAAAACGACATACTTCAACATTTTTTCACTAGTAGATCCAGTTTTTTGTTTATCTTCTGAAATTAATTTTTTAGTTAATCGAGCTAATACAGCTGCATGTGTTTTAAATTGTGGATGGCTCATTCCTATATTATGTGATCTTAAGGCCTCTGCTACAGCCCATAGTAACTTTTTCCTATGTATATCAGATAATTCTGAATTTAAGGATTTGTTTGTAGTGCCAACAATATTTTCAGATGACCTCCTTGTAAGAATTTTAGAATTTTTTTCAGTACCAGAATTAAATGAAAGACTTCGAGGAAATTTGCTTTTTGGTGAACTATCTGAAGTGCTATCAGATATTTCTGAAAACTTGCGCTTCCTTGTATCACAACTGTATAACAAAAAAATATGGTTGAAATTAAACTTTGCAGTAATTTTTGTTTTCATACACTCATTTTATTTACTAAAAATTCTATATTAATAATTTTCATATCAATAAAAAAATTTAAATGCAAATCATAAAAATGATGATATATCAATTCTAAAATACTTCAGTTACCTTATATTTGTATTGGCTTCTATTTCCATAAGACTTGTGGAATCTTGTTTCTCAGGACTGTGAAATAATGCTCTTCTAGGAGGAAATCCATTATCAAACCTAGAATTTGAAGTCGAAGAATGTTCAATATCAAATGATTCAGATGGACTTTGAAATAAGGCACGTTTTGAAGTTTCCCTTGTTGGTTTTGATGAACTTGAAGAACTTTCATCAAGAATAATTCTTCGACAAATATTTCTTTTCCGTGCTGAAGTAGCTGTAATTAAAAAAAAGCATTAGTTTTATTCAATATTAAGAATATGATTCATATACAATACTAACTAGGTGTTTGCTTTCCTGGAGTTTTCCTTGGTGTCTTTCTACATGGTGTTTTTTTTCCTGGTGTTTTCCTACCAGGAGTTTTTCTTCCAGGTGTCTTTTTTCCAGGAGTTTTTCTACTTGGAGTTTTGCGAGTTGGCAAAGGTCTATATCTCCGACGATTTGTATTATCATTTCTAAAAACATGGTTATGAATAATAGTTTCACCTTGATGCAGTAATAGCTTCAATATATTTATATTAGCACCTTGAACTCAGCATGATTTGACGTGCAGAAACTACAGGTTTTTTAACTTTATTTTCCAAACTGCAGCCAGCTTGCAAATTTGCACTACTAAAAGTTTGTCTGCGTCTAGCTAAATGACTTAATCTCCTGCCTGGAGATTGTGTAAATCTTTAAAGAAAGGAATCATTTAGAAAATATTATATGACATTATTGACATTAATTGAATTTGCACAAACCTGGATACTGTACTTTTTTTAACTTGTGGTCTAAGGCCAAGTGTACAAGAAGTTTGTGTTTCTGCTCCTATGTATCGTTCACAAAATTTTAAACAAAGCAGCTCGAATTCTTCTGATACTGAACTTCTATTATAACTGAAAACCAATGCAAAATTCCAATCAATGGTTGAAACTTTGAAAAATGTATAAGTGTCTTTGATATAATACTAATGCTAACAACTATTACTGAAATGGAAAAAGTGTAAAGAATAAACTTACTGTACACCATGATATCTGCAGTCCATAACTTCTGGCCAACTAGCATTTATCATTTCTTCAAAAGTACATGAAACTAGAAGAGATTTCATTTTTGAAGATTTTGGTAAAAGTGATGAAGTTATAGTTTCCTTCGAATCTTGTGATTGTAATTCTGTTTGCATTGGATCAATTGTTCCAAAATCAGCTGGAAGACTAACCCATGAATTCATTGATGGTGGTGTGGATGAATTTTGATTATCTAATATGACATCAGATGAAGCCTTTTTATTAGGTGTCATTAATAGTGAATTTTGGTCGTTGGCTAAATTGCTTTTATATAAATCAATAATTTGTCCTAAATCTAGCTGTGTGATGGTTACAGAAGGGGGTGGTAACACTCCACTTAAAGTCTTTTGTAATCTCCTTAACAATTCTGAATCCTTCTGGTGTAATGTATCATTTTTATCGGCCTTTATTGGTTTATTTGTCATTTCTAGAAAACATATGAATTAAGAATATTAAGAGTTATACAGTTGAAATTATATATAAATTAATTGTATTCATTTTTAATATATATATTAAAATTAATATTTTTAATAAAATTTTAAAAGTGTGAAGAATTAAAACATTTTTAGATATAGTTTAAGTAGTAAATGTTAATAAATATTGTTCTATATCATTATCACAAAGATTGGTATGATACCATAATTACATGAACTAAAAGGTTTTTATAAATATAATTTATTTGACTATACCTATACTATTATCAATATCCATATTGTCGGAGTCATCATCTGAAAACAAGTTTGGTGAAGCAGGAGCACATTGTGAGATATTAGTCTTATTTTCTATTTCACTATTAACATAATCCTTATCAACTTCTTTCATGTTATCACAAAATTTCTGTTTCACTTTATTTTTAATTTTTGATATTTTGTTTTCGAATGATAAAGGCCCCTTAAAGTCTTGACATACTTCACTTTTTAAATTTAATTTTTCCATAATTTTTATACTATTATCCATTGCATTATTGCTGTTTTCCATACTTAAGAAAGGAGGAGAAATTTTAACAGGAATTATCGTTTTACTTGTTCCCATAGAATCATCATTAGATTTAGCAGGTGTATATTCATTATTAGAAGAATCAGTCTTAATTGTAGATTTTGGTGTTTCTGATTTTGATAAAATATCGACTTTATCTTCTGAAGACTCATCATTATAAATTTGTACATGTGAACAATATTTATTCAAAAGAGTATCAGTTTTATTTATACTAGCTTGCACATCCCAGTGACCACGATTTTTAGAAAACTTATTGTATATATCATCACTAATAAGAGGAGTTTCTACAGCATCTTCGATTGTTGAAACATTTGTGATTTTCATAGGTGTAACTGTTTGAAGAACAGGAGATATCGGGGCATAAACTAATTTCTTTCTTACAGGAGAAATTTCACCATGGTTTACATCTACAAGCACTGGTGGTCTTTGTAAAACATTAAATGCTTCAGGATTCATTTGGAAGCTTTTATCAGTACTCCACAAACTCGCTGAATCTTGTGATGCCATTAAGTTTTGGTTATCTTCATTTAATTTCATTGGCACGAAAGTTGAGGACAGCATTTCCAGTGGTTTGTTAGATGTCTGTTTTTGATTGCTATCATTGATCAAAAACGCATATGAACGGTCAAAACTTGTATTTTTGTCAAATCCATGAAATTCTGGTTTTTCAATAAAAGAATCCTCAGTGTTCATATCGTGTAAATAATAATTTGACAATCCAGTGTCATTAGAGCTAATATATCATTTACTTATTGAAATTTATTAAGTTATTAATCATATGCAAAATTGATGATAATAGAAAAAATAACTTGTTACTTTACAATTAACATGATATAAAATTTACATTGATATAAAATGTTTAAATTACCATCTCCGAATTTAAGGAACGTTTGATTTGCGCCATGAAAAATAATCTATTTATTATAGGTTAAATCTTAATTTTTCTGTCTATTAATATCACCTATATCGTAATGCTGTACAATTAATTTAGATAAAAAATTAAATTTATTCAGCGATAATTGACCGATTTTTTTTCTCTTCATTTATATAAAATTACAATTGCACAGAAATAAACGTCACAAATGCATATCACAAGGGTCACCAAGGATTTATCAGTTATTTAGGATTTAGATTTGGATTTGTGTTGCCATATGTGAAATAATATCGATATCGGGAAGCAGTTCAACGGTTCACAAGTTTAAATGTAAATATTACTTTGACCACAGATAAAAAAGATATATACATGATTTTGACCAGTATATAATTTAACCTTTTCAGTATTTAATTTAAACTTTTATAATTTTGTTCTATCTGCCCTGCACACCACATTTTTGCATTGTCCTAACTTGATTAAAAATCTAATTTCATAAATAGAATCTGATATAATTTACAAAACGAACTAAAATATATTATATAATTTCAGGTAAAAAAATATATAAACACTTATTTTTCAACATATTTATACTTCTTTCACATTAATTCCAATTATTTTTGGTATCTATTTCAAAAATAGTATTTTACACTCCTGCAATAGCTTCTGAGGAAATTACAGAATCAAACACTCAGTGAAAAATGAAATAAGTATATTTCAGTAAAGCTTATTTCATATAAATTGTTTTTTTTAATAATAAATTTTTATCAAAAAATATATTAATAAAAATACATATATACTAAAATTTAAACAATAATAAAAAAACAACTTTAAGAGATATTTTAAAATAACATAAAATTAACAATAATAATACTGTAAAACTGCATAAAAGCAACTTAAATTTGCCAAAGAAAAATCACTTTTTCTTTTGGCATCTTGCCTTCTTCTTGTCTTTAGATTCACTGCTCTTTTTATTATCATCATCTGGGCTATTCCCAAAATTATACTTTGCTTTTAGTTTTTCTCGAATAATTAGAGCTTTTATTAATTTTCTCCAATTACCATAAACACGTTTCTCATTTTATCAGCTGCCTTCTTTTCAGCTTCTTCTTCTTCTTGATCCCAAGCAGCAATTAAGGTGTCTTTAAATTCTTCGCAGACAACAAATCCACCATACATAGGCACAGTAAAACCTTTCTTAAATTCAAATCCTACAACAGCAGCTACGCAGTCTATTTGTAATTTCCGAGCAATCCTAAGTAATCCAGGCACTAAAACAGAAATATAATGATAAAATATGGATAATATAATAAAATAAAGTTTTGAATTACAAGTTTTTCCTTACATTGTAAACAGACTGTGCCTTTTGGCAACATGCAGGGTTTAAACAAATCAACATTTCCATAAGCATTTCTTGGAACAATACCATTCTCTGCTTGTGGGGGATCATAATCTTCAACTTGCCAAGGCCCAAAAATTTCTAAGGGAGCATCAGGTAATTTTGTACCTGAAAGCTAAAGATAATAAAATGTTTATGAAAAAAATATCAAGAAATGCAAAGCACCATCCACTCAACTACTGCAGTTATTTTAATTCCGGTATAACATTTAACAAAAATACAACTCTTAGAGCCTTTATTTAAAATAATTATGTAAAATTTAATATTGTGTTCAAATAAAATACAAAAACTTTGATTTTTTCATTACCTTATCATATTTTGGCCGGGATTTTACAATTTTATAAGGTTTTTCTCCAAGCCTAACAGTTTTTGCCTCCTTAAGCCAAATGTCACGGGAGTGCAAAGTGTGAACACATTCCCTTGCATAAACTGGTTCTCCTTTGATAAATCCTAATGTTGGGGCATCTGGCGGATATATAGCTTCAAACTTTAATAAGTGTCGCTTCAAAGCATACAGTGGATGATTTTTAAATCTATGTTATAAAAAAGCACTTTAAATAAATAATTTATTTGCAAATTAAATAGTAAAACTTACTCTTGAATTGATGCCGGAAGTGGTTGTTCCAATTGACTTCTGTAAAGTTCTTCATCTTCTTGTCGATCCCTAACAGTTTTCTTTCCTAACCATGGTTTAAGAGTAGCATCCCACCATTCTGGTTCAGCTCTCAATTTTCTAGTGATGGTATTCCACTTTGGAACATATCTTCGTGTGACATCTTTCAATGATAAATCATTATTCCAAGCAACAATGTATGTAATTGGGTGAGTGGCATTGTTCTGAATAATGAATTAAATTTGATAAATTAATATGTAATAATTACTTAATAATAATGCATGAAAAATTCTTTAAACTAAAAATTTTTCTTGATTGTATCTATAGATTAAATTACTCCATGAAAATTTATAGATACTTAAGATTTCAAATAATAATAATATTTACATAAAGTTCCTTGACACATAAAAGTTTGCAGCTTGCAACATCAACACAAATCCATTTCTCTTCAGCTTCCAAATATACTTCTGCCCATAAATTACATTTTTTTTTCCTTGGTGAACTTTTTTCATCATCTTTAGGAGAATTTGCTTTATTAACCTTTTTCGATTGTTTTTTGTTAGGTTTAAATTCACTATCACTATCATTAAGCAATTTACGTTTTGGTGGGCTGTTAGATTCAGATAAACTTGAATTTTTATCTTTGCTTTTCATTTTATTTTTCGACACCTCATGGATTTTCGAAGTTGAAGGTTTTACTGGAGTTTTAGTTTCAGACTTTTTCAACAGATAGGTTCTTAATCTTTCGAATATTTAATTTTTTATTCGAAATTTCGTCATTTGCTCCATCTAGCTGTGGTATTTTTAACTCTGATATCATTTGTTCAGTTTTCAATCGTCTTTTTGAAGCATGTCTTGTTACAGCAGGAGAAGTATGAGATTCATCATTTTTTATAGATTTTCTTTGAGATGATTTACTCGATTTTTTTATTTTTTCTGGGGTTTTCTCAATCACAGATGCCTTTTTGGAGGTAGAAGCTGATTTATTTGAATTACTACTAGTTTGATCTAAATGTTTATTACTTTTCATTTCATTATTTCTGTTGAGTTTCTTATTACTAACATTATCCTTATTCTTATTTTTATTATCACTTACAGTTTTATCTTTGCTCTTTGTAGCTTTATTTTTTTTAATCTCATCATCGGACATCACTGACTTTTTGCCATCAATTTTGGGAACAGATTTTTTATCATTTCCTCTCTCAACTGAATGTTTTCTTTTCACACCTTTTTCATCATCATTAGTTTTAGATAAACTGAATAGATCTTCTGGGTTTGGTTTTAGAGGTAAAGTAACAAAAGATAAAACTAAACGGCATTGCAAACCCAATGCACGCAGAAGAATTATAAATATTAATATCAAAGTTTTCTTGGAGAAAGCATTAGCAGCTTTAATTTGTGCATCTAATATTTGCACTAAAGTTGAATGATCTTTCATATTCAGTTTAGAAATAGCAGCCATATTATTGACTTCCTTAGTCTTTCGTTTTGAAGCATCTACATACTTCATCTTACCAGCAAACCATTTTAATATCATTTCTAGGTATTTTAAATCTGCTTTATCAGGTGGATAACAATTATTTGAAGGTATTAAGGTCAAAGCAGATTTTAACAATTTTGGATAATTCAAAATTCGATTTACATAATTTCCATGTGCAATCCAACATAGAACATGCACTTTATGGATAAAAACTTGGTTTTTCTTTTTTATTAAATTCATTCGACGACATACTTTTAATCTATAGTCTTCCCTAGTTTTTCCCTTTTTCTGAGCATTTGGTAAATTTATTGTTATGGTGATTCCATCCTTTCCTATTCCCTCTGGTGTGCTTCTGTTTTTGGCTATAACATTATTATATATTACTAATATCTATTAAATAAAACTTATGGCATAAAAAGTTAAGATAAACTTTCAAAATTTAATAACATTAATATAATAATAAATACAGATAATTTTATTTTAATGCATTTTTATACCGAAAATGATGCATTATAAATATATAAATAAATATATAATTAAATGTGTAATCAGGGAGATTTAGTTAAATATGATTTATTAATTTTAATGTAGCAATTAATACATATATTTGCAATATCACAAATACTTACAACCATCTTCTTCTTCATCATCATCATCAGAATCTGAATGAAAAATCTGCGATTGGCCAGACTTGCCCGTTTCTCCAAGAGCTAATAACTCACCAATGTCCATATTACTATCTCCAGGTTTTTCAGCATGATAATTTTTTATGGAGTTTTTGACAGACTCCAAATTTTTTGTAAAATCATGTATATTTTTAAAATTTAGCTTTTGTAGCTTTTCATCTTGAAGATCAGTGTCTGATTCGTGTGATAAATTTTCTTGTAAATTTGTATCGCTTAAAATGCTTTTCTCAATATCATCAAAACTTGGTATTTTCTGTTCATTTGAATTTTTGAAAAACTCAGATTCAAAGTTAAGTTCTTTAGGGTCAACTAAATAATCATCTACGCTACTATCAGAGTCCGAATCTAGGGATTTAGATTTAATTTTTTTATTTGATACTCGAGATTTTGGGATATTTTTTGTGCGGACGGTTTGTTTTTTTGCATTTCGAATTTTAGTTGATTTTTCACCTTCAATTTCTTCAAAAACTTCATCTTCACTATCTTCGTCCTTACTATCAGGATTCCAATCTTCAGACGACGCCGAAAAATCGTTATCACTAAATGATTCCGAATCACTCATATTGAAAAAATAAATACTGAATAAGAGTGACAGGATTTTAAAACACTAAATTCAGAAAATACATATAAAAATACAGTAGTTCATTATAAAATTAATAAAAATCACTATATGAATTAATAAATTTTAGATTATGAAAAATGCGTCTTTATAAACTATATAAACACAGGAAGTGTTTTTGCGCCAAATGTCAAACAGTTTGGAGAGAAACAGAGCTCTCTAGTGGGCTATCCTTGAACTATCTAAATCATTGATAAATAAACATAATGGATACAATATAAATCCTTTTCAACCCTGGACTATATAATAATATGATTTCAACCATAGATAAATATAAGCCATATAATAATATGAATTCAATAATGATATGAGTTTAATATTATTACATATATAAGATTGTATAAATAGAAATAATAATCATTCTAAGTCTTCATAAAAACTTAATTAAAATTTAGCATAAATTATAATTTATGCTTTATAAAATGTAACAAACCTTCAAAACCTTGTTTTAAAATACTATTTTATTAAACCCATTAATACTTAATTCACATTTATCTAGTTAACCATAAATAAATAGCCAATGAAGCAACTAAATACGTAGAAATTTTGATTAAGCAAACTCCATTGCACAACGGTTCAAAACACAAAACGCAAAAATCCAGGGCTAATTGAGTTTCGTCGTCTGATCTAAATTTTTCTCCTTCATCGGCGTTCTCCTTTTCTTCTTTCAAAGGCGGAAAAGTCTGTAAAATTAATAAAAATTAAATTATTAAAAGTTTTTATGTATAAACACCTTGTCCTTAAAAAGGTTTAAACCGTAAATCGTAACTGAATAAGTAATATTTTAGCTAATTATTATGTATCTACTTTGATATTTCTCCCACAAACATCTTCATAAGGAGCACAATCCGCTTCATAAAAAGCTACACCGTCCTTTTTACCTTGAGCCATATAACAAGAGGGTATTCCATCAGCACATGTGACTTTTTCTTTACATTTTGGATCATCACAAAAGAAGCATTCAATTCTGAAATATCATTAGAAAACTTTATAGCTGAAGTTCATCAATCTACCAATGAAATATAATTCTACAATAATAACTTACTGAGTGGACGGGCCTATCAAATTAATTATCGAAATAAGAAGAATAGCAGAGCGCCAATATAACTTCTTCATATTTATTAAGTTTTGGAATATAAAAGTCAATGAGTTGAGTTATGCTAATATTTAATTTGACATTTATATTCTTTTGTTTTGATTTTAATAAATACAATAGAAAATGTATTTTTTAGGCTTCTTGTTTCACTCCTATTCATGGTCGTGTACGCAAAAATAATTTATAATTTTAATTGTACGAATTATTATCTTAGATATCAACATTTACACATTTTGTAATTTTTTAATTATTAAATATGACACATTTGCTAAAAGTATTTTAGCTCTTTTGGGCAACTGAAAATATGTATCTTAGTTACTAAATTTCTTAACTACTCTTTTTAATGAACGACAAATAATACTCCAATAAATTTATTTTATAAATTACAAACTATTTCGTATACATAAAATAAATCACTTTTTTGAATTTTCTCTAATATCGGACTTCATCAAACAACTTTAACATTTGATTTCACTACTCAATTTAATATTTATGGAGAGGTACAGCACTACATGGATTTTTGAGTTTCTTTCTGAAAAAAAAATTTTTTTTAGACTGATCGACTTGTACATCAACTTAATAATAATATTATATAATTTAACTGTTCTGTATAGTGACAAACCAAGTAAATGTACGATTTATTAATACAAACTGGTATATTAGAAGATCTTTCAAGCAGTCTTTGAAGATCTGTTTAGAATTCTTGGATAAAGCGTGAATAAATTTTTTTGTATTTTTCTCCTAATTATGAAGATATGGCTTGGCTGATCGTTGCAAACAATTTTAAATGCTTTTGGGAAAACGTCCACAAAGGGTTAAATTTTGGTTAACATATGATACATACTTTTCACCAATTTTGGCGTTAAAATGATTTAGGTTAACATTAAACACAATTTAATAAAATTAATAAATAAATATAAAAGCTATAGCTATTTACCGGGCATTTAGAAAAATAATTCAATAAAAAGTAACGACGCAATTGCAGACACAATCCTTGTGCTTGTTGCGATTCCACTATTGCAGAGTGTTGTTTGGCAAATGTAGCATTCATTTATAACAAGACCATCTTTATTGTCTTCTTGTCTAAAAGCATGTTCTTCGTCTTCTTCGTTTGCTTCAGTAAAGGCATTTTCAGTCGCATTTTCTTCATTTTTAACTTCTCCTCTTGCGACTGCGCCAAGAATGTCTTTACCCTGTGCTTTGGCCTGTTTTAATAAAAAAATAAATAAATTGTCATAACATACAATGAAAATAATATTAATGTATCAAATGTAGTTACCATAGCTTCATTGGCGCAATCATTAATATTGGCATCACTCAAGCAAGCCTCAACAAAAATATTCTTGGTACCATTTTTGCCAACACCCTTGTAGCATACCTTACTTGGACAACTTACGGTCTTTTTGCAATGTTCTTCTAAGCATTCATAGCATTCAAAAACTTCTGGTTTTTCTCTGAAATTAAACGCGATAGTGATGAAATAAAATACGAGATAAAGTAGTATAAAAAGATCATATTTATCTCTGTAAATAGCTGATCTCGACAGAGTAAAGTTTAGCAGAATAAAGTTTCTATCAGTTTCTACTGTTCTTACATTTCGATAAAAACAAATTTAACAATAAAGACTTACTCTTCACCATGAGCTTCTTGAAATACCAGTAATGCAATTGACAATGTCAAAATTAAAAAAAATGACCTCATGTTGATAGTCACTGGAAAGAAAAACAGACATGAAGCATTGATAAAATAGTATTTTAAAATTAATTAAGGAATTTTAAAAATTACCTTTGAAAACATATTTTTAATAATTGATCAATTCTAAATTCTAAAAACAGACGGTTTGACAATTATCTCATACTCAATTATTTTATACGATGGAGGACTACTATGCTCATTATCAAAAAAGGTAAAAAAATAGATAAAAAATCTATTGGAATTGCAATACACCTGATCAAACAATTGTACCTTAATAAAGTTATATAAAAAAATGTAAATTTAATAAATACATTCACTTATATTTGAGTTACATGCAGTTTGTTGAATTTCGACTGTTTTCATTTTTGATTATAGTTGTTGATTTTTGCATGAAATACCAATGTCCGCATTTCACTACTTACTATTTTTTTATTTGCCTTACTGCAGTACCTTACTTATGATTTAACTTGGTCACTTATTTTAAATTCAAAACCATTAAAATAGAAATTATTTATTATCGTCACTTCGTTCACTAATAAATACCTGATAAGTTTATATTGGTCTGCTAAATTGTGATCATCCAACCTGCAGCAATTTTCTACAAATGTCACAAAAACGAATTAAAAATGATCCATATTAAAACTTATTAGCAATATATAAATCTTAAAATGATTTTGTTTCACGGATTTTTATGATTGTGTTATGTTTTTGATATACGACTTTGACTTTTGTCAGTTTTGCTAAATGGGAATGATGTAAAAAAGGTATTTAATATTTGAATGTAGAATAAGCAATTATATCGTCATAGATGTTCGAAGTGATAATTTTCATTAGCGAAATTATAATAATTTAGCTAATGTGATGTAATCCATTAGTGAGATTGGAAAAGGACGCAAGTTGTCCTTTTATATGTGGATTACTACTAATACTAATGTTAAATCACGTGCCATTTCTATATAACACGATTTCTTCTGTAGTTGGCTAAATTACAAAAAATCTATAGTTATGAGATATTAATAGCAATAAGTTATTGATTAATGACACCTTAGGCCAATATCAATGCCAAACTAAATAAAGTACTAAACAAATTCAAGTCATTATAAGGTAATAAAGACCATGAGGACATTAGCTGGGTAATGTATATTTGCGTGATCATTAATGATATATCCTTCTCAATTATTGATTTCAGGTGTTTGGCATATAACTATAACTCATAATTTTTTATTGATTGATGAGTAGACAAATTTCTCCTGTTTATGTCTTTTTTCAATAATAACGATTTTTGTATGATAATAGATTGTTTGTTCTGAATAAATTATTGCAATTGAATCATGCAAATAGTGGCTACTAGTTTCGGGTTCTCATCTCTGCCTGCTTGATATTAAGTAATAGTGGTATCAGATTTTCGCTTCAGAAATAAAGGCTCTTCAGCATTAGATAAAAACTAGTGGTGTATGGCATCGTGCCTTGAGGCAAATTGCTGGAACTTTCCGTGCCGAAATAAAATTTTGAAAATCTGAATTATTTTCGATATTCAAAAATTTTTTTTTGGAAATTTAAAAAAAAAAAAAAATTGTTTTGCCAACACAAGCAGAAAGTTTTTGAATCATTCAAATCGGATGCTGATTTGGCTCTGTTTAGCTACGTATCTCCGAAACGGCTGGACCTGCCTCCACCAAAAACAACCACAACTTCTCCCAATCACTACGAATTGAATGTTTTTTTAATCATTCAAATCGGATGCTCCGTTTTCTCAAAATCTCGATTTCTATTTTCTCACTTTTTTCTCCGTAACTCCAAAACGGCTGGACCGACTTTTTCCAAAACTAATCAGCACATCTCCCTATCAATAGGAATCGAATTGTACGATTTTAGACGATTACAATAACTTACCCTATGGAAAGTTAAAAATCTAATAAAAAATCTGATTAGATAGACAGTGGCCAACCTCTGGATTGGATTCTAATAACAATATGCAGAATTCTAATTGACGTTAAAAAAAATTTATTACAATATTTATGGTGTGCTTCATTACGTTCAGAATAAAGAAATTTATTGAGTTGGCTTTGCTGATGAAGAAAGAATCTTATCACAATCTAGGCAAATAAACTTTTTTATAATTCGTATTGGTATATCTTTTATTGCAAGAATTATATCTTCAGACATTTTCCATATAATCTCAAACAAATATTACGATACAGAAATCGTGATATATATATATATATATATATATATATATATATATATATATATATATATATATATCTCCATACAATTTTTTTAAACGTCGGAACGTATTTGTAATAATCAAACAGACAGTACATCGAATTGAAACAATAAATGAATATATACAATTATTTGTTTATACGTTTCTACACTAAATATGTGTTATCATTCAGATAAAATTATATGAAACATTGAATAAATATTAGTGACAACAAAATATATTTTGTTGCATTATAGTGCATACAATGAATAAAAATGCAGATCATTATCTACTCAGTAATTGAATGAAACAAAGAATGAAATTTTGAATATACATTGGAATGGAAATATTGTTACAAATAGCAATTTTGATCATTAAATGAGACAGTAATTTGGAAAATAAATGCTGTAGGGTAAACAACTGATTTTTATAAAAACTGAATATTTCATAAAAATAAAACGGCAAAAACTTTGGTAAAAAATCCGTGGATAGATATTTTTGAATATTTAATAGCATTAGTAGAAAAATGAAAAAGATGATTTCAGAGGAAAGAAGAGTTAGTAAAGTTAAGATGCAACCTGATTTTTTTGATACTGAATTTATTTAATATTTTATATTATTTTAGCTGAATGACGTTAAAACGAATGAATAAATAATTGCTCATATTTATATAATTTTCTAAATCAATGTATTTGTATATATATGCTATATTTTAAATATTTATTATAAGGAACCAATCAACGATAACGCCGAACGTAGGAAACTAATAGAAATCGCATTAGAAAACGACAAGATATATATATATATATATATATATATATAAATATATAGCTATATATACATAGAATAATTTTTATCTAATGTTAGGCAAATAAGAACAGTATAATTTGTTCAGGTGTGAGCCCACCCTCCAAGTTCTGACCCTACTTATTTAGAATCAATATTTAGAATTTAGAGATTTAGAATATAATATTGATATACAGCATTGAATATTCACAAATAAATATAAAGTATTTAATAAATTATATAAATTAAATAGTACTACTCTTTGTGAAAGAAATAAATTTCTAAACATCAAACATCTTAATAAATTATGATGCAACATGAGCATGCAAACATTTACTTGGAAGATAAAAGATAATCTAATTTAAATTTTATGAAAAATTATAGAAGGTTTAATACTTTTTTTTAAATTAATATAATATAAATCTTATCAAATAACGAATGAGGCGTATGTATTATAAATATTTCATTTGCAATAGATTAGCAAAATGTTATTCATATTTAATATGTTGTCAGGATTTTTCACAATACTTTTACAAAATTGAAACGATATAATTAATAAAACAATTTCTCTGTATCAAAAATTTTATTATTGCTGATAAAATAACAAATATTTATTACATTAAAACCTAATTATTAAAAATAATATCTGCAAAACTATACAAAAATAAAATTTACAGATTAATACCAATCGCGATCACAATCGTTAGTACGATATTGAAAATAGTGTAAAAACCAAACAAAGAAATATTTCCATTATTAGGATTCGATGTTACATTAAAATTCATATCAGATTCAATATTAATATTTATTGTATTTGTTTGATTATTCATTATTTCATTGCCTCCATTAATTTTCGCTTGTTTTTGAAAATTATTGCACAAACTATTGTTACATAATTTGCAACTATCATTTTCAAGCATGATAAAATCATCATTGGTATTTATGCTTTCCTAAGTGGATATATTGTTGTTAATAAAAATTTTAATTTATAAATAATATGATAAATAAGTAAACTTACCATAACCGCGGAATTGCAATCTGTAGTAGAATTATCCATTGAACATCCCTGTAGATAATAGTCTCCAGTTTCATTTTTATATTTTGCCTCATAACAAGAGTTGGTCATGCAATTGACCATATTTTGGCAGGGTTCATTTGTCCCCAAACAATCATAACACATAAATGATGGAATGCTGATTAAAAGAAATTTCTTCATTATTGAAAATTATATATAGCAGATTAAACATCCATATAGAAGGATTGATGGAACATAGTACATTGTATTAGTATATGTATTTTTTACTAGAATTATTTTAATATTGATGGTATATTTTGAATTTGGTGCAGAAATACCAAAAATTATATATTTTAGATCTATATTTCCAAGAAAAAATCGATATCACAATCGCTTGATATTAAGCTGGCTCAGGTGGGTATCGAACCTGGAACCTTGTGAGGCAGGACCAGAGCTCTTTACCACATTGCATCTAACTATAACTAAATTCCCAGCAATAATTATGAAATAACAATTAAAATTTTATGAAATGTAAAATATGCATCAATATTTCTCATTAAACTTCATTTTTCAATTGCATTAAACATATGAATAGAGAGCATAATTTGTTAATTGGAAATTGAAAGCTGGAAAACGTTGGAATAAAGCGACTCAAATAGTTTTTAAATAACCCAAAGTACTTATAAATAATGTAAAAACATTTTAATTAAAATCAAATAAAAATTACTTTCACTTACTCTTGACACCAAATTTCCTTACTGTGAATGAGTAGAATTGCGCAAGTAAAAATATAAAACTTAGTACTTGGTTTCATTTTAAAAGCTGAAAAATAAAATTTTAAATTAAATATGCATCTATATGCAATTTCCACTAAATAATCGAATAACTAATTTAAATTTTTGATAAATTTGAATAATTTTAATTTAAATAATTATTACCTTTAAAAGAACACTGTTCTGCACAACACTTTAAACGCTTCTAAAATCAAAATTCAACATAACTCGATTAAATCAATGCAAGTAAACTTATCTGTCCTCTAAATGTTTATATATATATATATATATATATATATATATATATATATATATATATTATCCTTAACTATAGACCGCAAGGAATGATGATATTTCATCGCAAACATTGGCAACAGTTATAATCTTATCATTCAGGCAAATATTTTATCGAGCATATTCAGAACGAATATTACGTATACTTTCAAAGAAATATTCTTATTCTTATGTCCTTACGATATCAAAATACCATATTGAAATAACTAAACTAAACTAATCCAAAAGTGAAATACCAAGCGAAACTTTGTATTTTAGTATATTTTCCAATATACTTTCTAGTATAATTGATTCTCTTATGTTGCCTTAAGAAAAGTTATACAAAATTCTTGCATTACATGCAAGAGTGCTTATCCAATTTTTCAACGTTTTAAAAAATATTATAGTCCAATCATTTAAGCTTATAAATTAGGTAAGAATCTCGGAATTCGAGATACCCAGCTCTGTAAATCTTTGTATATTGACACCCTAAAGTTGTCTCAAAACTTACACATGGCTGGGTTTCAATACCATATGTAGGTTTTGAGACAACTTGAGGGTGTTAATATACAAGTATTTACAGACTTACAGCTAGGTATCTCGAATTCCGAAGTAAACTTACTATAATGACTGGACTATTCTATTACTAAGTGAATTCCACTTAAACCTTATCAAGTGCGACTAATAAAAAATTCCAGGATTCGATAAAAAATTGTTTTAGCAAGCATAATCAACTGTACTTCATATATAGAATTTAATTTTAACGCATTTTTTTAAAACCGATTTAAAATATTTGTACAACCACCAAAACGCAATCAACATAACTATCAGCTGATACTTTTTAAATCTATTAACATATCATTGACCAGATCGCTCTAAAAAAATATATATTACTTATAATTAATAAAATGATATAATTTATAATATAGGCAAAAGAACATACAAACATTATAATTATATAGGCTTGAAGAAAATCTGTTTTTAATACAAGATTGTACTTTTGTAGATGTAAATCACCACTGATATTGCAAAAATTTATGACAATATATAAAATTATCGTGAGTACAATAATGAAAACGCTTAAAGATTAAACTAGTGGGGTGCATGGCATCGTGCCTTAAGGCAAATTGCTGGAACTTCCCGTATTGTACACATTATTAAAATCTCTATAAAATATCTGATAATTTGATGTACATATGTCCAATGAACATTTTTGACCGCCAAATGACATTTTTTTAACTTATTTTTATTGAGAGTCCATAACCGCTGGACCTGCCTCCCCAAAAATTTGATCAATCCTTCATCTTGTCAATACAAATAAAAGGTTTTTTGAATTATTAAAATCGGACGATCCGTTCTCTTAAAAAGTGTGTTACCGTTTTTGGCCCGTATCTTTGGAACGGCTAGACCTGCCTTCGCCAAATACTAATCAACACGTCTCATTATCAATACGAATCGAATGTTTTTTGAATTATTCAAATCGGTTAATCGGTGTTCCCGAAATCGTCGACGAAAATTTGTATCCGCACACACACACATACATCCATTTTTTCTAAGGTATGCCAAAATGTTCAAAAGTCTTTGAAACGTAAAGATATATAAAAAATTTCATTTTCGATTTTTTTGCGATTACTATAACTTACCCTACGGGAAGTTAATTATAAAGAGTATTAGGAAACTAACAAAAATAATATTATTAAAAGCACTCGACCATTATACCATAGTTGTTTAATTGCAAATTTAAATTAAAGTTATAGTCACTTCACGATATAACAGATTGTATACAAATATAATAAATAATTCGGACATTTAAAAATAATTTATTTCACACATACACATCACTAAATCGACCGAGGATCTAAATATCATTACGATCCAAATCCAAAATCTTGTAAGTTAGATTTTCCGTTCAGGAGCTTCTGAAAATACAATCGTTTGTAAACGTATTTCGCAAATAGTTATTTTAAAAGCTAATATTAAATATGCCAGAATGTCTAAACTATTAGTTTTTCACATAAATTAAGAAACTATAATCCTAGCCAATTTTTGATGTGAAACAAACAGAATATTTTATTGCATAAGAATCTGTGGTATATGGGCAAGCTATATGAATATTAAATTAATACAAAATTAGTTTAAAAAACTTGGTTTATTAAGCAATCTCCGTAATAATAGAAAAGTCTAATTCAATTATTCTAAATATTATCATACCTTAAAATTGGCAGTTGACTAGGTAGGTTACTACAATCCATCCGATAGTAGTAATAGCAAATTTCCTCCCACTGCCATTGCAGAGTTTTTCTTCACACACTTCGCACTTTTGAAAATTAATCTTTTTTTCATTTTCATCTCTGAAACCGTCTTCTCTCTTTCTACGTTCTTCATCTTCAACATCCCCAGCCTGGTCACCCCCACCAGGCTTCTGTTGTTCCAGTTCTTTCAACATTTCAAGGATACTCTGAAAGAGAAATTTCATCAAGTGAAATTATCATTCAAGATTGACATAATGGACTAGTGGTGCATGGCATCGTGCCTTAAGGCAAATTGCCGGAACTTTTAGTACCGTAATTAAAAATCTTGGTACGGAACCTAAAAAATATTTTAATTGAGAGTCTATAACCTCTGGATCTGCCTTCCCAAAAATTCAATCAGTTCTTCATCTGGTCAATACAAGTAAAATGTTTTTTGAATTATTCAAATCAGTTGATCGGTGTTCCCGAAATCGTCGACGAAAATTTGTATCCGCACTCACACACATACATCCATTTTTTCAAAGGTATGCCAAAATAGTCAAAAACCTTTGAAACGTAAAAATATATAAAAAAATTATTTTCATTTTTTTGCGATTACTATAACTTACCCTACGGGAAGTTAAAAACTAGGTTAATTAAATAATAAAAGAAATATAAAACTGTAAGAATTTGTCCTGTAATAATATAAGGGTGTCAACTGGTCGAGCTCCAATTCATGTTAATAGAATTAAAATATAGAAAAGAAATCAAAATAAGATTTTATTAAAAAATTAAAATGAATTTCTTGAAAATATTTTATTATTAAACAGTAAAATAATAATAATTAAAATAGATAATAACAAAGCAATAACTCCTCCTAACGTCAGCAAATGAGAAATATCATTTGGGCACTTTAAGGCAAGTTTCAAACACTTCCCGATATGTGTAAAAAATCTATTTAATTAGAATTGAGATTTAGCAACTTTTAAAATTGTCATATTAAGAAATTTTAAGACGAATCATCATTCCGAACCTTGATGAATTTTTATAATTATATCACTTTCCCCAGGCTTATAATATTTCAGATGTTTATTAAAACTTTGAGCTCTATCATCATATAAAGCTTCATCAAAATCACAAAAACATCAATAATTAATTACGAAAAACGGCTCGGCTGATCTTTACCAAAACCTAATCAGCACGATTCCCAAGTGACCGTATCTTATGAACGGATTGTCAATTTTAAATTTATACTTTTCTACTAATTTTAACCACAACCAAACAATTTGGCAGATTGTCGCGCAAAACTATCAAGTTTTACCTGATGGCTTTTAAATCTTTGAAATCGGAGCAGGCGTTTTTGAGAAAATTTCGACTTTGAAAAGGTCAAATTTTGGCTTACACACCCGCGCATCTACACTGTTTCCAAACTTGATGTTAAACAATTTAGAATGTTTTGAAACATCGAAAGAACATAAAATTTAAAAATCGGATTTTCTGGCAAAAACGAACTTTAAACGAAATATAATGAGACATATCTGGTTTCAAAAACGGATAGAGAAATAAAAACATTGTAGAGTATATATAAGGGGGGGTTGATTAATCACGTGATCGATTTTTTAAGGATTTTTAGATCTTCCCTTCTCCCTTGGTGATACGTGGTGATATTCAAAATTACCCTCCCTCCCAAAGAAAACATCACGTGTATTTCTGGTTATGAGAAAAAATGGTAGAAATTTGATTTTTTTTGAAAATATTTTGATTTTTTTAAATTCAGGTTAAGAATAAATACACGTGATATCTTACTATACCCTTCAAATTTTTTGTCATACCCTCCCTCCCCCTAAAAATCTCACGTGATTTATGGACCCCCTTAGAAAAAGGCTGCGCGCGCTGAATTTTCAATTGTATCTCTTCTTCAAAACTTATCGTGGTACTTAATTAATTTTAAAATTATTATCATATTTAGATAAATCGATTGAATATAAAACTTACCGTTACATAACTTTTGCAGTCAGATCGGTCAGCACAGCCGCTGGAATAGAACTCTTTACCGTCCTCGTCCTTTCCACTGGCTAGGTAACATTTATTATAATTTGGACCGCAATCAGAAGTTGCGCCGCAGCCTTTGGTTGAACACTGATAGCATTTCAAGGCTGGCCTTTAAAAAACAATTAAATAATCATATTTAAATAAAATTTGGCAACAAAAAAAATTAATTTATTAACCATTAGAGTTCAAATCGTCGCTGTAACAACGAATCGGCCTTTAAGTAAACCCATAATACTCACACAAAATAATGACACTGAATGTTGTTGTTCTTGATAAATTTACCATAACCCTGAGACCATCCGGAGAAAATTAGTGTTTATTAACAGTTTTTATTAGTATATATTTTTTGGGCATGGGATAATTAATTCTTATTTATATTATCGTAATGGAATGCAATAGCAGCTTTATATCTAATATATTAAAACATAAATGTACTATTAAACTTACTCGACCGCGTCCGCCATATCAATAAACATCATGATCATGATGTAAATTAATGGAACTCCAAACAACCAGGACTTGTGCCAAACCATTAGGAACTCTGTTTATAATCTTGAAAATAAAATAATAAAATTAAAATGACATATATCTTATTGTTATAAGCATTATTTACTTACCACTTTCAATTCGATTGAATTAGATATTTTGTTTTGTTTTGACAATAACAAATGAATAATTTTTAGAATTATGCAACATGTTTGAATTTCCTTCAATTTTTAACTTTAGATATTAACAAAAAATAGAATATAAAATTTTCATATATTATGTACTATTTTTTATTACTATTATTATTTTATATCATTGTACAAGCAAAAACTTGTACATCTAAATACACACCCGAATTCTGTATACGATTTTTATGAATTCTACTAATAAATAAATTATATTATATAACTTATTATTAACCTAGTTATTATGAAGATATGTAAATATTATTGATTGCAAAATAAATATAAAATGTGAATCAATACATTTTCAAATAAAGCGCTTCATATTTGAATTTTTTTAAATAGACATACGAAATATTTTATTTGGCCACGTTGGTATCAAGTGCCGAAAAAAGCCGCTCGAAATACCGGGCTAGTATTTTTATAAAATAAATTAAGTGTAAGTGAGATTTAATGCTAAAAAGTCTATGTACATTTTGAGTTGCATTTTATCGTGAATGATGCCTTTATTAATTTGATTTTATCCCATTAATTTAGTATATTATACATTTGTTTTGTCGGCTTCAAAATATCAAAATGGCGCTGGAGATTTTATGATTTATGAAATTTATTTACGAGTAACACAATAAGATAAGCATAACTAACCAGGCTGAAAAATATAATTTTTTTATATTATTTTCTGAATGTATATGTTTTATAAGTCTCTGCAATATAAAAGCGCCATTGAATGCTATAGTACAACACCTAACCTTTAAATAAAATTTTGACAATAGATAACACCATGGCTGATAATGATGATTTTACCTTGGGCGAGGATAATTTAGACACATTTGATACAAATGGGGGTGACGCAAGTATACAAGAGGCAAGGCATATACTTTATAGGTTAGATTGCATTATGGGGCCCACTTTATAAGTGTTTTTTTGTAGGAAGATGTTTCACTCACAAGTGGAGCTGGGGCTGATGACCCAGAACTTGAAGCTATTAAAGCTAGGGTCAAAGAAATGGAAGAAGAAGCTGAAAAATTAAAACAATTACAGTCAGAAGTTGATAAACAAATGAGTCTTGGGAGTCCTACAGGCGTCAGTAAGTATCAGGAAGACTGATTTGCATATTTCATCAAAATGCATTATAAACTTCAGGATTATGCTTCTCTTCTAGCATCTCCATTAAATATGTCTATAGAAGAAAAAATGGAAGTTGACAATCGTTCGATATATGTGGGGAATGTTGATTATGGAGCAACAGCAGAGGAACTGGAATCTCACTTCCACGGCTGTGGGTCTATCAACCGTGTAACGATACTATGTAATAAATTTGATGGTCATCCTAAAGGATTTGCTTATATTGAATTTGGTGATAGGGATAGTGTTCAAACAGCTATGGCTATGGATGAAAGCTTGTTTCGGGGCCGACAAATAAAAGTAAGATATTATACATCAAAAATAATTCAGAATTTGAATTGTTGTTGCTATACATTGTTGAACATCTCACCAGGTTATGCCAAAAAGAACAAATAGACCAGGCTTAACAACTACAAATAGGGGCCCAAGAGGTAGAGGATTTAGAGGCAGTCGAGGCATGTCAGCAAGAGGAGGATATGGTTTTAGAGGATATGGTGCAGTTCGAAGGCCGAGGTTTGTATTTTAAATTATCCTTCTGTTTCAATCACAATTATGCACCATGCTAAGATCTTGAGAATTGTTTTAGGTTGTAATAAAGAAATATTTCACTTGATAAAGTTCTTATAATTATAATAATATTCACAATGTTAACAAATTCTTTTTACAGACGCGGTTCTTTTTATTCACCTTACTGACCATTTATGAACCGGGTATGATCTTTGTGGCAAATGTGAATTTTTGAATATACTTCCACTGATCTGTGTTCTGATTACATGCAAGAATGTGGATAATGTTTTATGAATTGAACTTGTGCAGCAGACCTTTTTTATAAATCATAGACAGTCAATGTTCAGTGTTATAAATTATCACTAATGAATTCACAGGACATTTCATGGAACAAACTTTTTTTTTAAGTTGAAGATTAAGTGTAATTTAGTTATTATGTATGTATGAAATGGTTTTATAAGAATAAGTAACCAAATGATTAACATTCACTAAAAACAAAACTGTGCAGTTGTGCTGATGGTAATAGTATTTAGAGTTAAGATTTTAACACTTCTAAGTTATTAGGTACTTAAGTGATCAATTTTAGAATTATAATCTGAAATTTATTTTTTGTACAGTTGCCAACATATTATCATTTATATACCATCTTTGATTTCATGCAGAATTAGTACAAAGTTATAAAATATCAATTTTTATATGTCATTGTAACAAAATCTAGATTGCTTAAGTTCATAATTTGATTTTGAATTACCACATTATGAAAAAGAATTAAATTTATTATCTAATTATCTGGTTTTTCTTATATATTTATACTTAGTCATTTTATAAGCTTGTAATAAGGTTTAGAGATCATTCATCAAATATATCAATGCTATTATTTTCAATGTCATAATTTAAATCATTTATGTCTATCATATCTTTAACTAATTCACATGTTTCACTTACATCAATATTAGGGCTAAAACATTTAATTTTGTTATTCAATTCCTTGCTTGTACCTGGCTGATCCTGTCAGGCTGCTAGTTTATAACTTTTGCTTTGCTTGATAGCAATTACATATTGTTGAGGAACTTCTTCAGGATTCTTTTCTGAGTCCTCAAATATAACCTTAGTAATGAATACAGAAAACTCAGTTAATTTTGATTAATAAATATTGCTTTTACTATAAAAGTACAAACTATTCACCTTGTAATAATCAGTATGATCCACTGGTAACTCGTGGACAACTCCTTTATAGAAACAAGTTGTTTGCGGATATAATGCCATAACTATAATTAATATAATGTAAGATTTTTTTATGTATACCTACATTATTTCCACACAAATTATAGTAAAGAATCTATTTTCATATGATGTACAATTAATTCTTATGCAGTATTTCATCCATTAGGGCTTGCTGATTATAATAAAATTGTTTTCAGAAAAAGCAAAGGGTCTTATTTTTCTATAATAGTCAAAATGGATTTCATTGAATACAGAAATGAATTGAGCAAACCTTGGATTAAACAACAATTTTTGAATTATTAATTTAAGAGTAAAATATAACCTTTATTAAATTTACTAACCCACTGTTCCTATGGGAAATAATGCCAGCTCGTCAGTTTTTGGATTGGCTCGCATTAGAGGCAATGGAACAACTTTTGATTTAATAATAGTGTGACGAGTTTTCTGCTCATCATCTACATCTTCAACCACATATTTATTAGAAGAAGAGTTCCAACTAGCTACTTTTGCCAATATCCAGTTTTCTTCACTATCAGATGTTTTTACAAAAGCTGCTACCATATCACCAGGCTGTAATAATTTATCAATACATCGATATCTATACAATTATATTATTATTTCCTTTAATTTCTTCTATAATAAAAAAAAAGATGATGAATTGCCTTTGAAATATAATTATTCTCAGCTGGAACGGCACCACACAGAGGTGGAGGAACTTCACCATATCTACTAACAAATAAAGGTAATGTTTTAGCATCTCTTTGAAGCAAATCCAGTAGTTCTGTTCTTCTTATTGTTTGTTTAATGGCAGCATTTCTGGCCTTAAGAATAAAAATCACAAATCAAATAAGTTTATCATTAATTGCATATTTAAAAATAAAATTAATAAGCTCACTTGTATTCTATGCTCATTTCTTATAGTTCGAATTTCATTTATTTTTGTCAGTGCTAATCGTAATAATTCCTCTTCATGTTTTGATTCATTGATTATATTCTTGCACATATTCTTGAAACGTTGCTGAAAGAATAAATTATTTTTGTTTATATACAGTTTGTATACTAAAATCCAATATGTATTGTATATTATAATATCCTTATAAAATATTATATAAGTAACAATTAAATTTTTCAATTTTTAGATTATTTTTTTCCAAATAACTATGTATTTAGCTAAATAAATTTGAAAATAAAGCATTAGACTTTTTTGCAAAAAACAATTAAACCAAATAAAGACTACATGCTGGATGATTACAACAAGTACTTATTAAATCCACATTTAATTATTACTCATTCATAACAGTTTCAACTGTTGCTAAAAATATTATAATCATAAATAATATCAATCAATTTAATTTAAACTAAATGAAACAAAAATAAAATCTGATAAATCTGATAAATTTAACTTTCATGTAAATGAGCTACATTTATTGTAAAAAAACAATACATTTACAGAACAATAAAATAAATTTGTTTTGGTATAATGAAAGGCATGTTAACTTTTTATGAAACTAAACTATGATAAGAATTATTCAGATATTATTTTAAACAGAAAAATAAAAAAGATAAGGTAAACTAACACAACCATGAACATTCAGAAAATACTAAAACTATTTTGATCATTTCAATTTAATAAAAGTTATTTATACAGGAATTAAAATGATATTTCTTAAATTATTTATTATTACCATTTATTACTTTACATTGGTAACAATCACATGCTTGAAAAAATATTTTTGTATGATATAAAACACAAATTTGTCAGTATTATCAATAATTACAGGTCCAAATGAAAAGTTTGCATCCAAATCTTGGAAGCGGACATGAACCAGTCACACAAAAGCATAAATTGGATGCACTACATGTTCCTTACAGTGGAAAAATTGCAAAAAAACATGTAGCTCAATCACGGATCGAAGGTATAATGCAATAATTAGTGCAAAACAACTATTAAATAACTGATTTCTGTGTAAAATTACAGCTGAGACTGCGTTTATAAATTCAGGAAAAACATCAAAACATAAGTCTAAAAAGAAAGCATTGAGCCATGAATGATCATTTGGAGATATTTGAAAGGAATTATTCTTTAGGTGCAAAAGATTTTATTTAATAAAATTAACTTGAAAAGCTTTGAATTATAATTAACTGCTAATGAGGTTTCCAATGAGATGATTTAAATACATTTTCTGGATAAAATCTAATTTGTATTTTAAAGTAATATAATACTATAAAATAAATAGTTAAATATTATTCATTAAATGAAGAATATAATTGTCAAATGATAAACTAATATAGCAAGTAAAGAGAGTTAGGACATAACTGAAATATCATGATATTATGATATATAATGTATACAAATAAAGCTACAGTTACTAGACTATATTTAGACAAAGCTGTAGTTACTTCGCTGTTGTTTTATATTTATTTATTTTGTTAGAAAATGTTTTTTGTCTAAAAATTGTAGAACTAAAATATAAATTAAATATTATAGACTTACCGACTGATTTGTGTTGACAAAGTCATCTGGTATCACTTTTTCTAGTTGTTTTTTCAAACCAATAATGCTTTGATCATTTTTTGATCTCTCCTTTTCTATATCACCCACTAAACTAAACAATTGCTGTAGTCGTTCCTATAAATAGAAAAATTAAATATTATAGCAATTACAACAATATAAAACTAAAACTCCTTTCAATAGCTTACCTGGACTTGTAAAGCAGTAGATTCAACTGTCAGTGGTGTTTTAAACATGATTTGAATGTGATTTACACTTTATGATAACTATATATTGATTATATTTGGATATTTTTACAATTAGGATCAAAATTTTTAATTGTTAAGCGATCATGAAAACCATTTTGAAATTTTTGACATTTGTGTGATAGCGTCTTTATCATTAAGTTGTCTAGGGTCGTGATCAGGTCTACCACCCTAACAATACAATAATATCACATTTAAAAGAAAGAAACACTTAACAGTTTTAGTACTAGACAATATATTAATCTATTTTAAGTATTTCTTACTCGTTGATAGTTTATTTAAACTTTCGTTTTTGATAAATACAAAATATTAATTTCTGTATTTGTGAAATCAAAGAACAGCTGTGAAAATATCCTTAGAAGTGTGAAATTTCTGTTGGACACTTAAGATATTTTATTATTAGACCATATGTACTCGATTGATTCTAGCTTTGCAGGTTTGAATTAGGATAATCTTTAGTTTTAAGCAAATAAACTCACGATATCTGACTGAAGGAATCTTTTAATTAAATTATTTATTGATAGAACCTGTTAAAAACCTGATTGTTTGCTAGTTACCAAATTATTATCTTGTTAAATCACATAGTAGAATATTAAATTGTACTTTATGTATCATTGCCTTATTTATTTAAAACTGCTAGATATCAGAACACTTCAAACCTATAGGATCAGTATCTTTAATCTAAAATATATATTTATGTGATGTATATATTATTATAAATGTACATTTTTATTTTATTGATGAATACAAAATTTACAAATTATAAAAAATAACATTACATTTGTCAATATATGGCTATAAATGTTTAGCTATTATTAATTAAATATATTGAAACAGTCCATACCTATGAGTATATCATTAAAAATGTAAATCAATGACACAGTCATAATTGCAGTAGATATTAAAAGATCTTAACTAACTTTTCTTATCATTGAAAAGTTACTATAAGATTTTCAGTCAGAAATAAACAATTTCTTAAAAAATATGCAATTCATTTGAATTGCCATAAGAAAAAAATGAACTATAATATAAACAATATCATAAATTTGTATGCTGTTCAAACATTTTCATATCTGAATTTTCCTCCAGAAATCCATCACCCATTGTATTCGATTCCGGATCTGGTTGATATGAGTGTTTTATTGAAAACTTGCCTTTAAGTACAGCTTTATTATGTTCTACATTTATCTGAAAGTATTTGATAACAATAATTGGTTGTTAATATATTTTATATTATTTTATTGATACCTTTTCATCATCCTTTGAACCAGAAGTATCATCATTATTTAATGTGTCTAATTCTGTCTTCATGCCACTTACGCTTGTTGCAGTTACATAAAAGGAAGGTAAACTGGCTGAATTAATTAATTTCTGATTGCTTATATCATGATTTAGCAAAATAGAATTATGAGAAGGAATTTTGTATCTTGATTATGCAATCATATTTGTTTGGTCGTTCAGGTGAATTATTTGATCTTGATTCACCAGGATCATTTTGAATTTTATCAGGACTTTCACATAGTTTCATAGAACTTATATCACTTATAGAATCATCAAACTGAATGAGATTGATACTATTTGCTGCATTATGTGGACTACTTGATACTATTTTATTCATATTTTTTAAATCACTGTTGATATTTCCATTTTCATATAAGATATTTTTATTTGGAAAATTACTAATGTAAGTTTGATTCTCACAATGCATTGCATTTAATTTTGTTGCATTACAATCAATATCTAAATTAGAAATTGTTTCTTGGCTTAAATCTGATTCTTTTTTATTAGCTATATAAGATTCTGAAGCTGTATTTATTTCATATTCAGTCTCATCGTCATTTGAGTTCATATTTTTATCATCGGTAATAATTGTTTTATCAAATGTTTCAGACTTAATGTGGGAAATTTTTCTATAGTTTTTGAATCAGCATCGAGATCATATGTTGAATTCAATACTTTGGTTTTTGCAAATGTTTCTTATATACTTGAAATATTTCTAGTAACATGGGAGACGGATCGATTTCTGGAGTAATATTGAAGTGTTTACAAAAATCTGTTTTATTATTAAAATGTTTTTTATTTGAATAATCAGATTCTGCTTCAAAAACAGATAGAGTATATTCAAAATTATAGAAGTTTAAAAAATCATATATTAAAAACATAATAGCATAATAATCAGAATGAAATGCATTAGATATGTTTTCTGTTATTTTAGATTCATTTTCTAAAGCTATATAAATATGGGCTCTGAGTTGTGCCTGTAAATATAAAAAATTGGCGAAATATATTTAACTATATCAAAAAATATGAAACAAGCAAGTAATATTATACCCTGATTTTGGCTAGTATTCCGTCTTGTGCCAATGATTCTACCATCAAATCACGAAATTCGGAATCACTCTCACTCATTTTGTTATCTTACAAATTCATTAATTAACACTATATTTAATTATATTTTTATACAAGGTTGAACAAATTTGACAGTAATAAAAAGACAACACAACGATCTCTGTCTGTAACGTCAAAACCTGTATCCACCGGTTCAGTTGGCTACAATGAAATAAAAAAAAAAAAACCGCCGGATTAAAACGTTATATTGCTTTTTTTCTTTAAATATATACCGAGTTGAAAATTACTAATCCATAACATTTAATCATTAAATTTATAAATTTTAATTTCAACTTCAAATTTAATATAAAATCTGTATTTTTGTATGCACTATAGATGATTTTACAATGGTTTATTTTGCTTTGCTGTATAAATTTGATCAATTCAATGAAATGTTATGAATGTGAAAGCAGGACTTGTAAAACTATCACAAATTGTGACAATGTATGGTATAATGTGAATTTGTTTGAATAATTTTGGAATTAATTATTTTATTATTAGGATGACGATGTTTGCATAACAATAAATGCAACCCATGCAAGTGGAATGCAGTATTATTACAAAAGTTGTAGCCCCTTATGGAAAAGCTGTGACCAGCATATTATGGTAAAGAAATTAAAATTTAACATCGACTCAACATAGTAAATATTGTATTATTTTAGAGATTTAGAAAATATGGACGTCAAGTTAATAGTTGTTATTTGTGCCATAAACCTTTATGCAACAATGCCTGGAATGCTGATAACAAAATGTCTGTGATAATAATATTAATAAAAATAATTAATTTTATTTTTAAATAAATTTATTTCATATAATATACAAATATTTTATTATTATACATACATACAGTGATGTTATCCTTTTCACAGCAATGCATCTGTAACAAACAAGTAATGTATAAATTACTACAGTAAATATTATTTAATTAGTATTATTATTAGTAAATAAATCAGTATCCTTTTGGCTAAATTATCACTAAAAATCACTTAAAAACAATTTTCATCACAATAAAAGCAGTTAATAATTTTTATATAAAACTTACCAGTCTGAACCAGAAGTTGGTAAATTCTTCACCGGCATTCAGATTCTGAAAAAATAAATAGAACTTATTATCAACTCTTGCATTACATAAATGTATTTTATGATATTATATAAGTGCTCATTAATGTTTTGTACTTCATGGCAGTAGTAGACGAAAAATATAGTAATCATAGCAGTAATTATTTAAGATTAAATATTTAATTAACTCACATTTTACTATACAAGTATGCAGGGATGATGCAGGGATTTCATACTGTAGGTTTGCACTGCCTGCAATAAAATCATGGAGTAAGTAAAAGAAAAATATATAATAATTATATAAATAAAGTGATTGCTCAGTATCCTTTTGGCTGAACACTCACAGTTATCATGCAGAAAATTATTTCATCATTAAATATAATAAAGCAACAAGATAGATGAAAACAACAAACCTAAATTTGATGTCCTATATATTTCCACTGTCTTAAAATCTCTTTTAACTTTGGGCAAAATGAAGTATCATAGAAGTTTCATCTTTGTGGTACATTTAGCATTTTTACAATGCACTGAATTATTTAGGACCAACTAAAGCAAAAGATTTGTCTGCAAGAAAATTGAACAATTGGAGTTTGTTATAGTTATATTTAAACATAAGTATAAAAAAGTTATATTAATTATCAGTATCCTTTTGGCTTATTAACAACATTCATAGATATTCATGTGTTGAGTAGTATCATCATATAATGAAAGTATGGAATTATAAAGACAACATACCTAATTTAGAGTCACATTAAATTTCCAGTGTTGTAACGCCCATGGAGTACAATAGATTTCATATTATTGTATAGCAGATTTTGCATGGTGAGGTACAAGATCAACTGGAGTTTTATCTGAAAGATAAAGTAAAAATTATTAAAATATGTTTTAGTTGTATTGAAACTAAAGGATGTATTAATAGTTATCAGTATCCTTTTGGCTTATTAACAACACTCATAAACATTCATGTGTTGAGTAGTATCATCAAAAAACACTGAATATTTAAATGTTACTTAAGGGCTCACCTAGAATTAGTAATGATCTAAAACCCCACACTTGTTTTGAAGACCCGAAACAACTAATGATTTTGAAAGCACAATGGATACCTGAAAAAAAAATATGTTTTAGAATATGGATTAAATGTTATTCATTATTTTGTTTGGAATATGAATATTCAGTATCCTTTTGGCTTATTGAGATTTGTAATCAAGAACAATTATTTACATTAAAATATCATCATTGTTGAGAAAGATGTGAAATAAGAAAATAGATACCTTAAAAATTTCCCCATTTGGAAGATACTCCGAGAAATCTGGATTCCTGATTACTGAAACAAAAAATAAATAATATGTAGTTAATATCAATTCATACTGATTTGGTATCAATATTAATTTGTAATTATCAGTTGGCCGTTCTTAATAAACATCAAAATACTCAGAACAGGTCTGTGAAGAACAATCATCATAAAAAAATATCATGTAAAATTAAACAAGTATCTTACACAAAATAATCGTTGCTAGAAAAGAAAGCTGTAAAACTAAAATAAATAGTTACCTTTAAGAATGAAGAACCCAGTGGTAGTTAGTTGAAATTGATACAGCTTGATTATTTCTGAAACAAAATAAAAATATGAAATGAATGTAATATTCACTAATACATTCATAATATTTAGTAATAATAATTGGATTATCAGTTGGCCGTTCTTAATAAACATCAAAGTACTCAGAACAGGTCTGTGAAGAACAATCATCATAAAATATCAATGCAAGCAATAAATTAAAGTAGAATTAGGAGTCAAAAAATTAATTTAAAGTGTGTTTACTGTAAGGCCTCACAATGATATGATTAGTTAAAACTTTGTATAGAAATCTTACCATCTGGTAGATTAATCATCTTTGGCTGGTGTTTCAGAAGCACCTGCCTGCAATAAAAAAATTAGTATTAATATTTATCATAGAAAACTCATTTTAAATTAAAAATGAATGAGCATCAGGCCTGTTGAGCTTAACTTGCCTTCATATTTGAAATAAGGAGTTTAAAGTGTCATCATAATAATAAATCACAAAATTTTTAAGTAATAAAGTGCAATGATTTAAAATATCATTCATCAATAAGAACATTAATACTCATTAACATAAAACTGCAATTACTAATGAGTACAAAAGCTTACCATAAAAGTTGGAAATTCTGCAATAGAAAGAAAATATTAGCAACAAGAAAGTTAGATTATTTTCATGTAATATTACATTAGCATCAGGCCTGTTGAGCTTAACTTGCCTTCATATTTAGAATTAGGAGTTTAAAATTTCATCATAGCAAATAATTGAAAGAAGATTTAGAATAAACTTACCATACTATACTTTAGAAGTGGCACTAGTACATGGACAAGAAAAAGCCCTTTAAGCACTGGAACAAAAAATATAATTAGTATTTATTTTAGATTTATTTCAGACTTACCTTTCATTTGGAATGGCTGTGAAAGTAAAGAATTGAAAGAGTGAAATAATTTATGTATAATATTTTAATATCTCAGTTGTAACAAGTACAAAATTTAAAAAAAAAAGTTGTTTTATAGTATAATAAATAAAGAATAAAACATAGAACCCCTGATAACAACGGCTAACTGCCTCTTTTGTAAATAGATGTAAACAGTGCATGGTTAAATAAAAATGTATACTATATTAGAATTTGTTTAGATTGTGAACTGGTTTATGTTTTAAGCTTGGATGAAAATCCTTGAATAAAGTACCATGCTTTTGATTTCATATATATACATTTTAATTTACATTTTGTCCAAATATTGTGATAGATCTGGTAGACCTTCTTTTAATCCCTTACGTTTACGTGTTTCCTGTAAAAGAAAACAAGTGTAAAGAAATTTGAAATGTTACTCACATACATTAAACATAATTATTGTATTTGTATGATCCCCTATTCTGGCCAAAAATATTAATTTAAGACCGAAACTAAAGACCAAATAATATACCAATAAAAGTTATTGTAGGATACAATCCCAACATGAAAAAGTTTTATTGGATTGATGACGATCAATAAGTAAATTTAAATAAACTTACTTGTACAATGGCATATGGTTTACTGCTTGGCTCTGATGGGTCACCAGGAAGAACTTGCCAATGATCAAACACACATTGTGGGAAAGCTTGTCCACCAGTATTTGAACGTAAATCAGCAGTGAAGCCGAAGGATTCATTTACAGGCAAGTAAGCTTTAGACTACGAACATGGGAGTACCTGCTACTTGCATTTCTTCGAATACATGGCCACGACGTCTGTTTAGTACACCATAGATACCACCAACAGCAACTTCAGGACACTAAAAAATGAATAATTTTATTAAAAATAATCCATAATGAGCATCATTAAGAAGTTAATTGTTAAGAAATTATATTGTATCAAAATCACAGCAGCATATCACACTTGAACATAAGGATAGAGGTTCTGTGACAGCGTTGTAATGAATTTGGTGAATTAATCTACTTCCTTAAATGCACTGCCAATACCATCAAGGAACATATGCTCTGGAGTATGGCTCTTTTTGTGCAGGAAGCACAATTTTGAAATTGACCGGTTTTAGGCTTAAAATATGTAGATCAGATGAATTATGCCAACCTGAATTTCACATTGATATACAGGTTCCATCAATCTTGGTGCAGCTGTTATTAAGCAAGCATACAAGCAACGACGTGTTGTGGGAATGATTTGGCCACCTCCTCTATGGATAGCATCAGCGTGAAGTGTGACATCATAAATGTTGAATCTAACACCACGCAAGTTCTCTTCTGAAAGTACACCTTCTTTGGAGGCCCATTGGAAACCAGCAACAACTGAATCCTTAATTTCATTGAGATATTGTACTCCCTTTGTACAATCAATAAGAATATTGGGGCCAGTTCCATCAGGACCAAAGCACCAGATTTTACGAGCTTCAGTTACATCATAATCATATTGTTCACCAAGATAACGAGCACGAGCTTTGAATTCATCACGGGGGTTGACTTTTCCCTGTAATGGAAAATGAAAATTAATAGTTGAAAATTGAAGTATGGATAAGGTATAAATTAGTTATATGAAGTGTTTTAAATATATCTGAGTAAATTTTCAAAACAGATTTACTAGTTTTAGATGCATTTATAACTTACACTGTCGATGTCTTCTGCGAGGCCATCAGGCATAGGTTGTGCCTTCATGAATAATCTGTTGTGCTTGTTTGGAGATTTAGACAAGCACATTTGGTCTGATTCTTCAGATACAGTTTCCCGTAAGATACAACAGGGTCAGATTTCTTTAATGGAATGCAAGCATGGTCTTCTTCCAAATCTTTCAAGCAAATTTCCAAGTGCAATTCACCGGCACCAGCAATAATGTGTTCACCAGATTCTTCAATGATACATTGGACCATAGGATCTGATTTGGCCAGGCAGATTCTTCAATGATACATTGGACCATAGGATCTGATTTGGCCAGGCGTTTCAAACCTATAGAAAAATGGAAGCAAATTAATTATTGCATTTATCAGTTATTGGCTAAAAAATTTATGTTAAATGCATTACCTTCTACCAATTTTGGCAGATCAGCAGGGTTTTTAGGTTCAACAGCAACACGCACAACAGGAGAAACTGAGAACTTCATGACTTTCATGTTGTGAGCATCTTTGAAGGTGGAGATGGTACCTGTCTTGACTAAGAACTGATCAACACCGACCAAACCGCAAATGTTACCAGAAGGAACATCTTCAATAGCTTCTACATAACGACCCATCATGAGAATAGTACGTTGGATGGCTTTTTCATACAAGTCTTCTTTCTTTCCAGGTACGTAATTTGGACCCATGATGCGAGCCTTCATACCAGTAGCTACTTTACCAGAGAAAACACGACCAAAGGCATAGAAACGTCCCTTATCAGAAGTCGGTACCATTTTTGAGATGTACATCATAAGTGGAGCATCAGGATCACAGTTCTAAAGTTATGCAAACAATATTAATATAAAATTAATAATTGTATAATAAAATATTGAGTTAATATAAATTACCTTGACACCAATAGCAGCTTCATCATCATGAGGACCTTCGTATAACATTTCCATACGGTATTTTTGAGCCACTACAGGAGAAGGCAAATGAATGGCTATCATCTGAAGTAAAGCTTCACCGGCAGGTAACCAAGTTCTCATCACAACCTGTAGCAAATACAAATTATGTAAGTTGTTTGTAAAAAAAAGTCATCAAACAGTGATTTTAAAAGATTCATACCTTCAGTAATTGTTTTCCATCCTTATCTTTGTCTTCATGTTTCAATACAACTCCTAATTTGGACAATAAGGCCTCAGTTTCTTCCTTCTTGTAATTCATAATAGCATCAAAAACTTTGTAAATTGGATCCAAAATGTACATACAGAAAGACCTGAAAAATACATATTTAGTTGTGAAATGTTGATCATAGACAATAAAACAAAAATTAGGAAAACAGTATCAGTTGGCCGTTCTTAATAAACATCAAAGTACTCAGAACAGGTCTGTGAAGAACAATCATCATAAAATCAAATTTACAACTAATCAGAAATACACAAAAAAATTACCTTTTGTTATCTTCTTCCTTTTGCTTAGCCCATTTCTTGGTTTTAGGGTTGAAGAAGTTCTCTCCCCAAAGTCTGTTCATCAATTTAGCTACATCAATCTTGAATTTCTCAGCATACATTTCAGAGAATTGTTTTAGAGTAAAAGCCCATCCATGAAGACCAGATCCAAAACCAACTGAACCTTTGCTGGGATCAACACGTACTTCACCCATTGGACCAGTATCATCAGAGTATGTGGCAATGATAACGTTCACATTTTCCACAATACGTTGGAAAGTTTGGTACAGTTCTTCAGAGTCCAATTGCAATTCCAAAAGTGCACGGTCCATTTTGTTCATGAACACAACAGGCTTAATACGTTCAGCAATAGCTTGACGCAATACGGTTTCAGTTTGAACGCACACACCTAGTCAAAATTATACTTTAGTTAATCTATGTTAAAGACATTACATGAATTTTATTTTTGCATTTTATATAATGTATCCAATCCACTGCAGCATATCACAAACGAACATAAGGATAGAGGTTCTGTGACAGCGTTATGATGAAATGGGACAGTAATCTGCTTCCATTTAATGCACAGCTAATACTGTCAAAGAATACAACTTACAAGAAGTTGTATTCTATAGCATAGCGCTTCATGTGCTGGAAGCAAAAATATTTAAGTATGGCAAGGTGTGAAAAAATACCTGAAACACAATCCACAACCACAAGAGCTCCATCAGTTACTCGAAGTGCAGCAGTTACTTCAGATGAGAAATCAACGTGTCCAGGTGAATCAATCAAATTGATCAAGAAACCTTTACAATCTTTTTCTCTTTGATCGGGGTTGGTGATGAATACAAGATCCTTATCATCCAATTCGAAGTACATAGATATGGCACTGTAAAGTAGATAAAAAAAAAAAAAATAGATTAATCATTGGGTTTGTCACAAGAGGCTATTGACCTATGTTAGTATTGAATTAAAAAGTGTCGAAATTGTTATTTATGTAAAAATATATGCAGCTGTTGAAATTAAATGCTTACGTTGATTTAATTGTGATACAACGTTCTTGTTCATCTTTACGGGTGTCTGTAAATCTGGTTTCTCCAGCCTTAGCTCCAGCAATGATACCGGCTTTAGAAACTAAGGAATCGGTTAATGTAGATTTACCGTGATCGACGTGAGCAATGACGGACATGTTACGGATATTCCGCTTCTTGTCCATCATGCCACGGATTTCGTCTACTGTAAAGTTCACCTGAAAAGAAAATTAAAATTAATATCTTGAATTTTACACAATATTGCAACAAATATAAACCATTTTTTAAGCTTCCACTAGGCAAAACCTCGTGGGGTAAAAATTTTCCATAATCTCCTACAAAGAAGTAAATACTCTTGGATAAACTGTAGTAACACTAAATAAATTTGTTGAACATATGGAAAGTAAGAACAAATTGCTATAGATAAAAATCCAGTTAAACCACACCACACTTTTCTTTAACTTATTTGACGTATTTTAAAACATCGTACACCAAACATATACACTACAACACAAACATACATGTGTAAAATATAAAAATATACTACAGATTGTGTAAAAATTTACATACCATTTTGGATGATTGCTGATTATATCAAAATTAAATATCACACGACACGCCAGCAATGGCGGACTCCCTTCGAAAGAACGATGATTGCAAGCCACGATGTGGCCACGAAGATAATCGACGAAGCTCCGCCAGTCGGACAAACCATGAATGAGTATGTTGCCAGATGCAGCCAAAAGTATCATATAAAACGAACTGCATGTAAAAATGCACTTAAAGCGCTAAATTCAAAAAGTATTGACGTTGCTTTTTGAAACTAATTTGTGTCAATGATTTTAATACATTACAAAATATTTTGTTTTGATAAATTTTAATAAAATTTTGTTTTAATGGTACTATTTTTTCCTAGACAATATGAGAATATAATATATGCATTCATTCATTAAGTTTCAATACTTATGTGATTAAATTCACCCAAATTAAAGTATGTATTCTATAACTCTATCTCTCTATTATGAAATCATATTGACAATAAAAAATAAAAGACTACTTTATGGACAGATACTTCATTCTTTTAGAATGGCGATAAGAATAAATAAAATATTTTAATATTCATATTTGAGTGTTCTTTAATATATTCAGCAATTTGACAAATTGAACTTTTTTTCATTAATCTATGCATACTTATTTAAAGTAATTTTACATTTTATTATATATTGAAAAATAAAACATTTTTAAGTGCTCATTTTCAAATTTATTCCACAATGCATCATATTCTTTTTTGGAGTCTTGCTTTTGAAGTACATGCCTTTTCATGAGTCTGTACTCGATCAGCAGTGAAATGACGGCCACAATATCGACAATTCACAAGAGTTTCTAAAAAATTATCCCACATTCTGTCGAAAGTTCCTTGGAAATCAATATTTCCGGTTTCTGAAAAAAAAAATGATAAAAAACGATGCACATTCAATAGTAATATATGATCAACACGACCAGAAACTGACCGCAGTGGCAGAGGAACAACAGTATTAAAATATTATGAGATAAACTGCTTATATAATATATATTTATATAATATGTAATGAATATAATGTTTATGAATATTTAGTTACATCATATGAATGATTATTAATTTGGATTTCGTAAATTTAAATGAAACGTGCCAAAATCCATATAATTTTGTACGAGCACACAACGTGTATTGAACCCTTTTATATTAGACGAAAGACATTTGTGTTGAATAAAAACTTTTATTTTTTTTATATACAGTTATTAAAAATTATTATATAGGAAATATATTTCTAAATACGCCACAAACAACATGCTATATATTATTTACAATCTTTACTATGTACAAGAAATTGAGCATCAAAAATATCATACAATATATCTCTAATTCTATGTACACAAATTTCAGGACCTCTGTCTTCGAAGCAGATGCAAGTCAAATATACACAATGAAATTTCATGTTTTCAATATTTTTGATGAAGGCAACTTTTTTCATGAATAGGTAGCCGTTCAGGATTAAATGTTCTACTACAATAGCGACATGGCACCAGTTGTCTCAGATGATTCATCCAGTACGAATCAACAACATCTTCACGTTTCGAAACTTGCTGCCTTTTTATACCTGCAAAAAAATTACTTAAATAATCTTACCTCACCTGTAATCACCCATATAAAACAATCATGCATATAGTTTTATATAACAACTTACTCAAGTTGAAATGAAGGATAAAACGATTTGCTTGTAATTTTTTACTCTACAATTGTTTTGTATATCTTGATATTAGACATAAACTTGACTTAAAAATATCTACTTTAAATATATAAAAATTAAAATTTGAATATAATTAAAACATTCTTAAAAAATCATAAATAATACTTACCTTTAATGGAATTTAGTTCACAATTATTACTAAACACAAACATAACATTCACAAAAATAAGTATATATTTAAAACTAAAACTGGAACAGCAGTACGCAAAATTGTAAGATATAGTAATATAAATACATTTGTGGAACATAACATAAATTTAAAAAAATACAAATAAGCGTATAAACAAAGTAAAATTCATTTCTATAACAATGGAATCTTCTATAACTAATAACTTGGACAATATAACACTCTCTTAACTTTGGTAACAACCCCGTTACCACTTTCACTTATTTTATGTAAATCTTATTAAAGATTTTAAATATGAGTTTCCCTGTTAAGTGTTTGAAAATAATGAATTTAGTATTCAAGATAATGGACAAGAATTTCACTTACTAGTAAATCTTGTATCTGGTTTTCGTGGTTCCTTTTCCTGTTTGTCTTTAGGCAGTAGCTCGTTGTGCCTTCTCCAATCTTCTGCACACATCTCTTCATGGGCGTTGATTTCGGATGTAGGCAATTCCACGCCGCACAAATAACACTCTAAAGCCCACGGTCTTGGAGGTGCTGAAAAATAATTATTGATTCAGGAATTAAATTTTGATATAAAAAAGATAAATAATTATAAAGATAACATAGAAGTTAAATATAAAACAATGTTTTTTAATCCATTACCCTGAGGTTTCCGCCATCGCTGAAGTTGCAACGGAAGTTTAGTTTTGTTCGCCGGTATCAAATTTTTTCCTTCATCCAAGATTTTGTTACCATCTTTACGCAAATTAGGTCTTAATGGAGATTTAACAAGCGCGAATCCGATGAATTTCGTGATGGGCTCTTTATGTCATCATTGTGACAAGCGCGAATCCGATGAATTTCGTGATGGGCTCTTTATGTCATCATTGTGAAAATCTGAAAATAAATGATACCGAATATATATCATATATAGACTAAAGGAATAAATAGTATATTCTTTATAAATCGAATATTAATATCGACCTTTTATTGATTAATAAAAAATATGCATTTGAAAATCAATTAAAAAATTCATTTGAAATTGTCAAAAACGGACAGAGTTAGCAGAAAATTTGGAAGAGCATAAGTGTTATGTCGAGTTTCGTTATATGTGATCGAAAGCCAAAATATTTAAAAAATTTAAATTTTACACGTTTTGTTTTCAACAAAATAGCTTTTATAGTTCTTTAACGTGGAGCCCGGTGCAACAAAAGTAGAGCTTTTAAATACAATTCATTAGCAATTCCCTTTCACGTAATATATTATAGAAACCCCGACCTAGTTTATCGATTATAAAAGAAGTCAGTGGGGCAAAGCGTTTAACTGACTGAATAATACATAAACTAACAGCTTGTAGAAAAAGCACAGGTGTATGCAAAAAATTCAACAAACTTTACAAAAGCTTTTTTTTATTTTACCACAAATACGAAAAGATTTGTTGTTCTGTGTTTATAAATTAATTAATTATGATTCACAAGATCAACATTATAATAATATTCTGTAGTGGGGTGCACGGCATCGTGCCTTAAGGCAAATTGCTAAAACTTTCCGTACCGTAATTAAAAATCTTGGTACGGAACCCAAAAAAACTAGTGAGGTGTATGGCATCGTGCCTTAAGGCAAATTGCTGGAACTTTCCGTACCGTAACGAAATGTTCGAGGAATATTAAATGTTTTCAAATAGATTATTATGAATATTGTAACATTGTCTAATATTTATAAGAATTATATAAACTGAATTGCAAAGTTGAAATTATTTGTTTAAAGTATATTAGAACTATAGTCAGAATTAAAAATGAAATCTGAATTATTTTCTATATACAAAAAAAAAATGTTGAAAAAAAAAATAAATAAAAAAAAAGTTTATACAAAAAATTTTTTTTTCCAAAATCAATTATTTTATTAAGACAAGCAGAAAGTTTTTTGAATCATTTAAATCGGACGCTTAGTTCTCTCAAAAACTGCCATTTTTTACACATTTAGCTCCGTATCTTCGAAATGGCTGGGCCTGCCTTTGCCAAAAACTAATAAACACTTTTCCCAATATTACTAATTGAATGTTTTTTAGATTATTCAAATCGGATGCTCCGTTCTCTCAAAAACTCGATTTCTATTTTCTGCACTCTTTGCTCTTTATCTCCGTAACGGCTAGACCTGCCTTTGCCAAAAACTAATCAGCACATCTCCCTATCAACAGGAATCGAACGTTTTTTGAACCATTCAAATCGGTTGATCCGTGTGCCCGAAAACGTGACTGGAAATTTGTATCCATACATACATACAAACACACACACACACATCCATTTTTTCTGAGGTATGCCAAAATGTTCAGAAACCTTCAAAACGTCGAGAAATGTAAAAATTTTCAATTTCGATTTTCGGCCCATTACAATAACTTACCCTACGCGAAGTTAATTACACAAAATGAGTGCACATTATTAAAATCTCTACAAAATATCTGATAATTTGATGTACATATGTCCAATAAACATTTTTGACCATTAAATGACATTTTTTTAACTTATTTTTATTGAGAGTCCATAATCGCTGGACCAGTCTTACCAAAAATTTAATTTGTCAATACAAGTGAAATGTTTTTTGAATTATTAAAATCGGACGATCCGTTCTCTTAAAAACTGTGTTACCGTTTTTGGCACTTTTTGCCCCGAATCCTGACCTGACTTCGCCAAAAACTAATCAGCACGTCTCCTTATCAATACGAATCAAATGTTTTTTTAATTATTCAAATCGGTTGATCGGTGTTCCCAAAATCGTCGACAAAAATTTGTATCCGCACACACAGACACACACACACATACATTACCCAGACAGAAGACCAGTCTGAGATGCATAAAGGCATTTCCTTCGCTATACAAAAAAACACACACACACATACATCCATTTTTTCTAAGGTATGCCAAAATGTTCAAGAACCATTGAAACGTAAATATATAAAATTTTCATTTTCGATTTTTTTTGCGATTACTATAACTTACCCTACGGGAAGTTAAAAATTCAAATTTCTCACCCAAGCTCCGTCTCCTCCGCGGCTCCGGCCTTCGTTCCGATTCCGGTAGCTGATCGTTGCGTCTCCGCCACGCGGCTAAACATTGAGCTTCGTGTTGTGCGAGCGAACGCGACGTAACCGCCCGCTCGCACACGATGCATTTCGACACGGACGCAACAGGCTGAGCGGGTGCACTGCAACTGCTGCTTACCCCGCTGACAGGGCCTGGATCGATGCTCGACTCTCTAGCTGTCTGAAAGGAAATAAAAACTAGCTGTAAGTGGAATTCTGTCTTAAGGCAATTAAGGCATCGTGCCTTAAGGCAAATTGCTGGAACTTCCCGTACCAAAAATTATTATTTATTTAAAAACGTTTGACATTTAAAAAAAAAATTACTTCGAAAAAATAAGATTTTTGAGAAACTATAAATTTGACAAAAATTACTTTTTAAAAAAAAAAATTTTTTTTTGAAAAGAAAAATATTTTCTTCATTTTGACATATTTTGAAAATTCTGATTTTTTTTTCAAAGCAATCGTATTGCTTGAACTGCATAGAGACGAAATGTCAAAGCGCGCAAGTGCCGCGCCGCCGTCTAACGCGTAAACATTGGTACGGAACCCATAGGAATGTAAACCAAAATTATACCTATTGTTAAAATCTCTATAAAACATCTGATAATTTGATGTGCATATGTCTAATGATAATTTTTGACCGCAAAATGGCTAATTTTTTTACTTTTTTCTCCATATCTCCAAAGTCGTTGGACCTGTCTTTCCAAAAATTTGAACAGTTGTTTATTTAGTCAATACAAAATAAAATGTTTTTTGAATTATTCAAATCGGACGCTACGTTCTCTTAAAATCTGAGTTACCGTTTTCGGCACTTTTTGCCCCGTATCTTCGGAACGGCTTGACCTGCCTTTGCCAAAAACTAATCAGCACGTCTCCTTATCAATACGAATCGAATGTTTGTTGAATTATTCAAATCGGTTGATCCGTGTTCCCGAAATCGTCGACAAAAATTTGTATCCGCACACACATACATACACGCACACACACACACACATACATCCATTTTTTCTAAGGTATGCCAAAATATTCAGAAACCTCTGAAACGTAAAGATATATAAAAAATTTCATTTTCGATTTTTTTGCGATTACTATAACTTGCCCTACGGGAGTTAATAATCGAAAGTTTTAAGAGATTATAATATACTCGTCAATTGAATTTTGTGAACTATAAGACTAAACTCGCTTTTGTGGCTGTTTAGGTTTAATGAATTATTTAACTAACCTGATGCTTTTGTGGCTTGCACGATCGCAAATGAATTTCTAAACGATCAGGTAGAAATGTCCTCTCCCACAATGTTCACATGGCAATAACGATTTCTAAAACAAAAACAATGATGTGAGTTGAATATGTAAATAATCAATATTTAGAACTCGTACAGCATCAATTTATTACACGCACGTATTGCGTTATATTATTTGCGTATACATTTAAACACGTTTTTTATTTAAACGTTAAAAAATATTTATATCAAATTATTTTTAATTTTTTTCTGGCTATTTTTATTTATGATTTTATTTCTCTAAACTTAAAGACTTTATTTCTAAAAAAAATCATTTACTTAATTTTCCATATATAAATAATCATTACTTAATATTTTTCAATTAAACACTCGCTAAAAATTGTAAATTGTAATTGTATTTTTAATTAGTAGTAAATTGTACATTTACTATTAATTAAAAACACCTAGACTTTTAGATGCTTTCTATTATGAGTGCACAAGAAGTCTGACATAGTACATAAGTAATGAAAAATTAAACAAATTATTTCCTGAGACTCAGATATGTATGCTAGTTATTTGCAGTGACTGAATTGGAAAGTCTTGTGTGATTTTAATTTTATGTCACTAAACATGTTTTTGAATTGACATTTGGACGAAGAAAACACTTTTAAGTCCTTTTTTATAACGATATTTTATTATAAAAAATTTATTTTGCACTTTTAATTAATTAATTAAATAAATAAATTAAAAATTAATATATTTAATATTAATTATAATATATTTCATTTATAATGTAAACCATAAAATGCCGACTTCTCAATGAAGTATAATTGCACTCTATAATTTATATATATGAATCCCTTAAATGGTAATGTAACAATCCCTGGACAAAAATAAAGCGCGTTCTATTTATAAAATGATCTCCACAAGTTCAGTATGATGCTTATACCGCAGGTTATGTGTGTAAATGTGTTTTTACATTATTTGAATTTCCTTTAACTTTTGTATGAGATATTCAAATACAGATCGCAAATTCTGACAAATACAAAATATTTATTTATAAATACTGTGTTTATTGCAACAAAATGCATAGGGTTGTAGAGAAAAGCTCACACCGCGAAATGGTTACAAGGTGTCCTTGATGATGTGTAATGTGGGTGATTCAACGCGCACGCGACTGCAATTACCATTGTATAATCATAAAACTTGATCTATCCACAAGCAAACCAAACCCAATGTGGGTCAAATGCGAACAAATAATTATTAACATTTGGCGATTCATTGACAATTTAATTCAATGCTGTACATTCGCAATTGCAATGTCTGGACAAAATTTATAAAAATCAAGATAAATGCTTATCGATGCATGTTAAAATTTTGACTAATAGCTCATAAACATTTCAAATAACATCGGTAGCTGCATGAATAAGCAAACCACTTACTGATATAAACACTTAGATTTTGAGAACAATCTTGACCATAGATAAAAGATATACAATGATATTACCATGGATTATTTTAAATTTTATTATGAACGAATAATCTTCAATTCTTTAATTAGAATTTGTTAAAAATATTACATAGTTAGAACAATATTGTACTAAATGCTTTTTCAAATTCAACATTTCATTAAAAAAATAGAACCGAAGATAAATGAAATTATCTGAAAATATCATATTTCACAAATGATTAATAAAAAAACGCAAATATTGAATAAGCATAGCAAAAATAATGTAATTAATTATTACCAATAATTTTTTTTTCTACAGCTTAATAATTACCAATATTTTTTTTTATATAGCTTGTGTTACAAATATATTATAAATTTAATAGACATATTATCGCATAATAAAAAAAAATTACATACTTGCGAAACTTTCCAAGCCATATTATTATACTCCAAAGCTGATAAATTGGCTGGTGGCTTCTCTGGCATAGGCCTTCGTAAATGTGCTGGCAAATATGCGTTTTCCCTTTCCCAGCGCTAAAATTACATTCATTACTTTTAAAAATATTTGTGTGAGAGTATTTTTCGTCTTCAATCAAATTGCGTTAATTTCCCGATGTCAAAAAAAATATAAAAAATGCTAAAATAAAGCGCACGTCTCAAAAAAGCCTGGTCATAGCTAATTTCAAAAGAATTTAAAAATGTTTAACACTGTTGAACGAAATTTCTAAAATGGCTTTTACATTTCCAAGAAGGAATACAAAAATTGGTTAACATACATTAATTTTTTACACAAATTTAATTAAAACGATGACCCTAGTTTCATCATATGACTTTTAGATTTTTAAAATCGCGTAAATGTTTTCGGAAAACAATGGACAAAGATGTAAATTATATTCTCCTATATTCAGAATTATTCTAACCAGTACTCAATGATATCAAATTACGAACAAACAAAATACTAGTGAACTGAATTTTTGAGCTAAACATTCAACTTCTACTTCAGATAGCTAAAAATTCAAACTACAAAATTATGTCTACAAAGTTCAGTCCAAATTTTATGAGCAAAATGCAAAAAAGAAAATAGAACAAGACAGAAAGGACATTAAGAAATGATGTAATTAACATCAATTGTAGTAAAGTATTTAATTATTAAAATTGGTAAATTATTTATTACCTCCCGGCACCTTGGTTCGAGATAGCTAAAAATTCAAACTACAAAATTATGTCTACAAAGTACAGTCTAAATTTTATGAGCAAAATGCAAAAATAAAAAATAGAACAAGATAGAAAAGACATTAAGTAATGATGTAATTAACATCGATTGTAGTAAAGTAATTTAATTATTAAAATTGGTAAATTATTTATTACCTCCCGGCACCTTGGTTCATGCAGGTGTAATGACGCCGTTCCAAATTCTCTTCCGCATAAATAGCACGTCAACGTACGTGGCCTAAGTGATTGGATCAAATTGCCCTTAAGTTTATGAGCTTCCCTGTGAGATTGCAAAGGAGATGTCTGGTGTGCTGATGTTTGTGATTTTGCTAATCTGAAAGAATAAAGATACAGATATCACTTACCATCGTATACCTCAAATTTATCTCATTTATAAATTAACTTAACATATATCACGTAATATTCCATTTAGAAATGCTTGAAACTGGTATAACTTTGTTATGATTTGCATTTGTTATAATGCTTGAGAATTAATGTAATAATAACAATTTCATGGATTTCACACGCCTGCAAATCAAATCAAATATACAAACATAACATAGTTGTTTGTTTAAAGTTGGACGAACTCATGCATGAAAAAATAAACTAATGAAATTTTTATGAATTAAGTCTTGACTGAGAACAATTCTTTAAGCAGTTAATTATGGCGCTCTCATTGAACTGTGCACACAGTTTTGTATTATCAAAATCGAGGTAAAATATTATTTTGAGGTAAAATGATACTTACAACTATCTACTTCATTAGCCTCAAAATATTCAAAATATATTGAAATTTAAAAATATTTCGTTTTTTTTTAACTTCCCGTAGGGTAAGTTATAGTAATTGAAACTAAAATAATTTTTTTTATATATCTTTACGTTTCAAAAATTTCTGAACATTTTGGCATATCTTAGAAAAAATTGATGTATGCGTGTGTGTGTGCGGATACAAATTTTAGTCGACGACACGGATGAAGCGATTTGAATAATTCAAAAAACATTCGATTCGTATTGATAAGGAGACGTGCTGATTAGTTTTTGGCAAAAGCAGGTCTTGCCGTTCCAAAGATATGGGGCAAAATGTTTCATGGGGTTCCATACCAATGTTTATCCATTAGACGGCAACGCGGCGCTTACGCGCTTCGATATTTCGTCTCTATGCAGTTAAAGCAGTACGATTGCTTTGAAAAAAAGTTCAGAATTTCCAAAATATTTCAAAATAAATTTTTCTTCAAAAAGTCTTTTTTTTTTCAAAAAAAAGTAAATTTTTGTCAAAAATTTATAGTTTCTCAAAAATTTAATTTTTTCAGAGTGAATTTTTTTCAAAAATGTTAATCTTTATAAAATCAAATAATTTTTGGTACGGGAAGTTCCAGCAATTTGCCTTAAGGCACGATGCCATGCGCCCCACTAGTTTTAAATTGCAATCTAAATAGCCTTTGGTCAAAGATTTATTCGCATGACGAGTATAGTCATCAATACACAAAATCCATGTCTTCTATTGTCCAATAAACTCTTCATGTCTCAATGAAGAGTTAGATGGTCAATAACAGTTAACTGTTTATTAAGCACTCATTTAGTGAGATGAAAAAACTTCTTAGTAACAAATTTCTTATCCAAATTTGAACAAAAACTTAAAAAGAAATTTTAATATTTCCAAAACAACATTTTTGTGTCTTAACATGATATTAAACAACTTAGTTCACAATTAGTGTTAGTTTATATTATTTATTAGCATTAGATTATATTATTATTATCTCACCTGGGACTAGCCCTAGGCGTTGCAGCTGTGCTGACCGATTCCGAAGGAGATTTATTATTCTGCTGCAAAGTTGATCGCTTTAAATTTCGATTTCGACTTCCAATTCCCAGAGACGCCGTTGGAATTGAAGAAACATTACCTGTGGTGCTCCCGTTCCGGCCGTGGCTGTGAAACCGTTCCGGAAGATCGTTACGGCCACATGTCCTAGGAGAAAAAAAAAATTAAAAATATTTTACTAGTTTAATTTATAGGGAAATTAATGAATGATTTTTTATTAATGTGAAATATTGGGTCATATATATAATATAACTAAAATATTGGATCCTAAGGTAAGTAAAATGTATTTATTTTAAATAATTTTAATTCAATTATCATTAAATAAATACTATTAAATTTGGCACCTAATTAAATAACCTCTAAATATAAAGATGGTAAAAAATGTTCAAATAGTAGAATTACCTATAATGCCCTCCAATCTTCATATATTTATCTTAAAACTAAATTCTTATGATATGGTGGAATATAAAAATGTCAAATGTGCAATTTATTTTGAACATCATACTCATGACATTCTTGGATAAAATATTTGTTTGCGTATGTAATGATTAAAATATCTACAGTATGTGTACAAACAATATTGTTGATATCTATATAAGGTATAATAATTAATAATAGTAATATTTCTTATTCTCTAATAATAAATAATTCGTAGATTTGCACGAGATGATATTTTTTAAATAATTGTTAAAAGCTCTACTTGTACATTAACAAAAAAACATTATCTACTATTTTTTCTAGTTGAAGGTTTATCAAAGGTTACTTACTTGCAAGGTTCTGGAATATGTTGCTTTAAATGTGGCACTGAAAATACTTCCCTAGGCGTTTTATTACTTAATAATTTATTATTTTTTTGCCCCCTTTTTCGTAATGTACTTATTTCACAATCACTGTCCAATCCTTTGATTGTTGTATCAGTGCTACCAGAAATTTGGGATCGTGGTGATAGAGAATTTTCCTATGAACAAAGTTTATATTCAAACTTCAAATTGATAATTGAATTCTTTAAAATGTAATATAACTTACCCCTGTCGCTATGGTGTAATTACTGTCGGTTCTGTATTTGGGACTTGATAGAGCTGATGAATCCGAATCGGCGGCCATATTTAATCTCAGATTTTTTCTATTTTTGTTTCTTACCATTTTTTCTGATCTCCAAGATTCATCACTGGAAGGAACCTAAAAAATAATAAAATTTCCAATATTTTATGTAAATCACGATATCAAACTGATTGTTTTGCTTTATACTTTTATTGAATATTTCACCTTAAGATGTTGCATAGAAACACTGGCTCTTTTCTTCTGTGGATTGGGCCTGACATTGTGATTTGTTGTTTCCGATAGCCGTTTCCTTGCCGAAGGCCTGCATAGATTACTAATGTTGAGCAGCTCTTTTCGAACAAGCGACATGTCTACTTTTTCTAGAAATGCAATGTCTAGTAAGAGTGGTCGCTCCAGAGTTGCAGTTCGGGGCCTCGGCGGACGTACGCCCGACTTTTTTCTTTTTTCTACCTTTAGCGGCCATGTCGTCATACCCAACCCTAGGTAAAAGAATTATGAAAAAAATTAACTTTTGATAATTATGATCATTCTTGCTGTTTATTATGTGTGTGAAAGAAGGTACAAGAAAGGAACGAGTACGTTGTAAAAAATTCTAAGTTTCTTACCATTATTCCCGTTTCTCATGGTATCAGTTCCGTTCGCCATGTCGTAAGTCCCATCTGGTGATCCAGGAGTCACTTGTAATTTTGGCAGCGAATACAGAGATCTGCTGAATGTAGTCGTACCAGTATAAGTGATTGCACAGAGACCCCCCTCATTCCCACAACCATTAATATCACGAACCCTCATTGTTAAACCAAAATATAAAAAACCCCAAGACCTTTTGAATTTAAAATAAACATTTTTCCTAAACTAGAAATTTTTGTCGTCGTAGGCAACCATTTCCATTTACGTCAAACGGACAGAGGATCCGAGTAAGATATTTTGTTTTTTTTTCTAGGGGTATTTATCTTAATGATATGTTGGCTCCGGTGACTGATGGTTGACTGAGGAAAGGCTCCCGGGGAGTATGACATGTTCTGGTGCAATTAGATATTTTTATAAGAGCACGTGGATCAGTTCAAGGTTATGTTATTGTGTAGATTAGAAATCGCGATGTTAAAATGATACGAGATAATTGATGCGATATCGATGAATGCACGCACCCCCATCATATAAGGGTATATCCACATTCTGAATAAAAACCACATACGGATATTCAATACATTTTTTGAAAAGCAATGACACATTATTTTTTAAGATTTGACATGTTTCATATGCTGATCATATTGTTGGTCACATTGAAAATTACTTTAATTAAAATATTAACATTTATTGATATGCACATTATAAAAATATATCATCAGACTCTCATATCTAAAATTTTGAGAGAACTAAGTGGTATATTCGTTTTTATTATCAGCCTTCGATAAATTAAACCATTCAATGTAAAAACTATAGTAAATAATATATTATTAAACTATAATAAATTAAATTATTTAAAGCCATTAAATTATAAATATATAGCATTTCAGATGATGAAAGAAATATAAGTAAAACAAAAAAAAATATTATTCAGTAATATACCAAGTTATTAAAAAAAACTAATTTATGATTAAATTCCCTATGGTTTGAGTTCCAATTTGATTCTTTCTTACTCAATAGGAAAAACAAAATATTTACAAAATTTAAAAACTACAGACAATGAATAGTTAAATTATTCCAATTATTTCAATTACAAAGCCCTAAATTATTTTGATAAATAAAAGCTTAAATTTCTTCATATCTTAGTTTTTTTTCCTTTATGATTAGATGAATAGGAGTACTACATTTAATTATTAAAATCATTACATTGTTAAAAATCCCTTATATTGCTGATTATATTATTTAAAAAATAGGTAAATAAAGAAAATTAAACATTAATGTATTACCGATTTTTATATAAGTTTTAACATAAGAAAATGGTTGAATCGTCGATAGGACATGCCTTTAGGAATATCGTGTTTGAATTTAATCCAATAAAAATAATTTGTGTCAAATTACCTATAGAAATAAAATATTCGTAGATAAATCATATTCGTAGAAATTCAATAATGATTATAAGCGTTCGTAATACGTACATACGTTTATATAAATAAATATTATGTACATATCGTGATTAAGTTCATTGCCATATTCAATAATGATTTTTCAATCGTGATCATATTTACATACTGTGTACACTAATTTGGTAATTTTTTCTCAACTTTATAGTTATGTTTATATATTATCATTGTATTTATGTTTATATATAAATATAAATATCCTCAATTTGTGGACATAGAAATCATAATTATTCAAAAATTTAATAAAATTTTGATCGTTAGATGGATTTCATCATTTATATTTTTGAAAACAACAATTCAAAAAGTAAGTTTTAAAATATATATATATATATATATATAATTTTATATAACAATATAAATATTATTATATATGCATATCATATTACTCATACTAAAAATTATTCATACCTGATGTATTTTTTTACAAATTTTCAATTTTTGCGCAAAAACCATTTATAACATTTACAACAATTTCAAGAATAACTAGAAGATTACTTTATATCACAATTCATTCAATTTACCGCCCACTCTGCATCACCAAATAAGTACACACATTGAATATTAACATACGCAATAGAGGTTGCATTTATGGCGTTCAAATAGAAATTTAAAACTTTCAATGCCACACAGATCTTAAGACTATTCAAATATATATTTCATAACTTCATTCACAAATTTATTAATCACAATATAAAAGTGAATCAATGAAAAATTCTACCTTTTGTTGCCGCGCTGGTTGCCGGGCGACTAGTGTCGAGAATCGGCTACGGAAACTTAAACTAAACCCACTCAGTGGGATCTCAGTGGGAACATTTCATCCTCCCACCACGGAGAAGGCACCCCACTAGTATAACGCAATAGAAGGAAATACTCACATATTTTTTAAGGGTTAATAATAAAGGTTCCTGACCTCGCCGAAGTTCGAAACGTTTAGGGGAGCTTTTTAAAAAGTGATATGTCGACGGCCTGATTCCTCAGAATTGTGGACAAATAATGACTTATTATGGATTAATCTAGGCCAAGAACCTGTACGTACATGTAATTTGATAAATAATTAAATATATTGACGACGTATTTAGGGAAAATTCTCCGATAAATATATGGACTCTTATTAATATATACCTGTATCAATATTGAATTTTTAATATAATTAGCAGCTACTTCGAAGAATTAAAAAATTGAGTAATATTTTCACTTCTTTATTTGAACGTTTCGACACTTGATATGTACCATCATATAGCAAAATATACCAGAAAGATAAAAAACACAGTTTTTCACAGTTCGATTTGAATAATGATGGATTGAGCATCATGGCTTTGTCAAAAAATTAGGATGTTATTTTTATTTTCTAATTATAGTTATGTTTTGATATTTATTGTTAATTAAAATCATCTAAAAATATTTTAAATTTTGTTTCAGTAAGTTGACGAGTGACGACACGTTTAAATAAAGAGGTGCTACTATTTTTCAATTTCTTAATTCGATGATTTAGCTGCTATAATTACTTATATTATATATATATATATGTATATATATATATATATATATATATATATATAATTTTCAAACTTCTGATTATTAATCTCCATTTTCTTTAAAAAAACTTATTTGTTGGAATTTTCTTTTATTAAATTTATTCAAAGTTTCAGGTATATAAGATGCACCCTTCTTCAGGAACTATTGATAACAATTTTTCTTATTATACATTAATACACTTAAAGTTATTTGATTTTGGTTATCTTTAACAATATAACTGGATTAAACCAGAGTCATATTTTCATGACCTGGATGATTACCAAATATTATAAACTTATGAGAATAAAAATACTCTTATGAGAGTTGCACTTCAATGATATATTACATCTTTGATATTTTAGCTCAATTCTTTTATATATAATTACTAAATTACTAAATTATGATAAATTTGCTTAGTAGTTATGTGTCATAAATAAATTAGGTTCATAATTTATCTCCACGCAAAAATTAGACCGTTAGATCATCAAAATTTTATTCAATCAGACCCATAGGCGTAGCCAAAAGGAAATCTCTAGAACTTTTAATATTAACTGAAATTTATAGAGATGTTAATAATGTCTTATTTTGGTCTGCCCCACCTATAATAATAAAAAGCTACGCACATGGTCAACCATATAGCAAATATATAAACACCTACGATCAATGTAAATAAAAAGTGGTTTTATTTCTTTGCTTCATGTGTAAGAATGACATCATGAATAAAAATATTGATGCAAAATTTCTATGATTGTACTTAAGTAGTATAATATAATAAAACGTGTTTCAGATAAATGTAGTACATTTGGGAATATTTTAGACGTACAGCTTCCTTATATAAAGTTCCTTATAGTAAATCTGTAAAAATAAAATTATGCGCATATTCTATTTAGAAATGAAAAATATAATAAAAAATAATTTTTGCTACTTTGTTAAAATGAGCCTTTGATGTTATCTTCAGTTATTTAAAAATGAAGACCATAATGGAAAATAATTTATGGTTACTTTGTGTAAATGAATCTTTGATATTTATTTTACCATTTGGAAATTAAGTCTGCAGGGAAATTTATTGCTACTCATTTGTCAAAATGAACCTTCGGTATTATAAAAAACAGCTAATAAATATTTTAAAAATAAATTAAAAGATAATCTAAAATGCTTTCAAGTAATATAGCATAAACAATTATTTTAACTTTATGTAGAACTTATTACTAGCTTAAAATATATTAATTATCATAACTTCAAATATATTGTCATTTTAATTTAAACTTTAGGTAATATAATTTTGAAATTCGCGCTCAAGGTTTCAACAGCGACATCTAGTTCTTAAAAGCAATACTCCGTAAAGCAAACTCCGTAATATTAATTGTCAAACATTTTAAATGTCAAAATAACCTCATAAATATTGTTCGAAAACCATAAAAATATTTTTTTTTAATATATATATAGATAATATGTGTTGATTTTCCATTAGGACAAAATGCCAAAATATGAAAGGTATTAAAAATATAAGCTAAATACGTGTAGGTTATTAAATAGTACAAAATTTAAGCATATGAATTGATTATTTAATTTCCTGACAGAAAAGAAATAACATCTAGGGATAGAAGATATTCAAGAGATAGGTCTCTGTCAGAAGAGCGTTCTTCTAAAAAGTCAAGAGAACGCAGCAAAACTAGATCACGTAAATCAGACCATAAATCAAAGAAGAAAAGCAAAAGTCGAGACAGATCTAAAAGTAGATCTAGGAAGAAGAAGCACCGCCAAGGTAGATTTCTTTTTTCAATATTTTATAATTATTTTCATAAAACATTCTTGATTAATGGATTTTTATAGGAGTAGTTCATCATCAAGTTCTGTCTCATCTGATGGTTCATTAAAACTATTACAACGACTTCAAAATGAACGCATACAACAAGCTCTTGAGAAGAAACGAGAGAAAGAGGCTATGAAAGCCAATGAGACTCCTGAAGAAAAACGTGCAAGGCGCCTAAGAGAAAAGTTAGAAAAAGAACGTAAACGAAAAGAAAGAATGGGATGGGATAATGAATATCAACATTACACAAATACTGATAATCCTTTTGGAGATGGTAATTTAACAAGTACATTTGTATGGAGTAAAAAATTAGATAAAGAAGGATTAAAAAACATCAGCCATGAAGAAATAGAAGTTAGAAACAGACACAAGCAACTTGAAAATAAAATGGAATTGGAAAAGGTGAATTTTTTCTTGAATATTGTAATAGCAATTACAATTTACTTGTTAATTACATATGAAACTTGTGAATTAAATGGTAGGTATTTTATTTATATTAATATTTGTGTGAATAAATAGGTTAAAAAAAGAAGACTAGAAAGAGAATTAGAAAAACAACAACGTGAAGAAGAACAGTCAATGATGCAACGCAGCAAAGAAGCAGCACAATTTGAGGAATGGGAACGACAAGAAGATCGTTTTCATCTTGAGCAAGCAAGACTACGCTCCTGTATACGTATACAGGATGGACGAGGTAATACAATTGAAGAGAATCTTATTGCAGTATTAATTTTTATACAAGTTTTTTAACAATTAAACATCATTTTATTTATTTAAGCAAAACCAATTGATCTACTTGCAAAATATATTAACTCTCAAGATGAAGTTGATGCAGTGGAAATGCATGAACCGTATACATATCTCAATGGATTAGATGCTACAGATTTAGAAGATTTGATAGAGGATATAAAGGTATATAAACTAATAACATTGAAACATAATATCAGCAAATTTCTGCATATTTGCACGTTTTTTTTAAAAATTAGCTCTAATCATAATCCAATAATAATATGTAGTATTAATGTATAACTTTTTTAATATCATATATTTTTATATAGGTTTATAAAGAATTAGAAAAAGGAAACAATATAGATTACTGGAATGATTTGACCGTTATTGTTGAAGATGAATTGCATAAACTTAGAAAAATTGCTGGGCAAGCAGAATCTGCAGCTGTTGTTCGCAGAGAAGGTAATAAATGATAAAAGAGCAAAGTGGTATTTTATAACCACCGACATACCATTTTCTTTACAAATTAAATACTTTTAATTACCAATATTTATTCTTTATATAGGTATTCATCAAGCAGTTGTAAAGGATGTTACAGAAGTGTTCAAAGGTAAAACAACAAACCAGTTAGACCAATTGCAGAAACAAATTGAGAATAAAATTTCTGGTACAACTACTGATGGAATAGATATAGGATATTGGGAATCATTGTTATCCCAATTGAAGGGTAAGTCAATGAATTTTACACATTATAAGACATAGAAATTTATTATTATTCATTTCAATGTTTTCTTTAGCTCATATGGCAAGAGCCAGACTTCGAGATAAGCATCAAGAGATATTAAAAAGAAAATTACAATTACTGCAAGCTGAACAACAAGTTTCTACAAATTCTGAATCCGTTGAACATGTGGCAGAATCAAGAGTTCCGGTTGAATCAAATACAGGGCAAGCTGCAAATAAGCCAAAAGATAATGATCGCAAAGAAAATACTGAAAACAGTGAAGAAGAAGTGGATTATGATAGGTATTATTCTAAATCCTTATTATTTAGACAATGTCTAATTAACTTTCTTCATTAATTTTTCAGTGATGAGTCACAATCTCCGGCAAGAGATTTACTAACTGCGTCATTTGCTCTTTATGAACAAGGGTGCTACAGTCCTGTTTATTTAACACCTGCCCAATTAGAACCAGGAACTGTTATCGTTGAAGAGGAAGTGGACACTAAACGATTAGAGTTCAAAAGAGACACAATACTTAATGGAAGCAGTAATAAAGAAGTAAGTATTTATATCAAATATGTAAATACAACAAAATAATTGAAATAGGGATATATGCAAATATATTATAATCTTATTTTTTAGCAGAGCTTGTCCAAGCTTGAATTAAGCCTTCGAACTGAAGCGCGTCGTGGGATGGGTGGCGATGAAGCAGAATTTTCTGTTGAAGCAGGAATAGGTGAATTCGATATTCCTGTTTATTTATGGTCTGATAAATACAGACCGCGAAAACCAAGGTATTTCAACAGAGTGCACACTGGTTTTGAGTGGAATAAGTACAATCAAACCCATTATGATATGGACAATCCTCCACCCAAAATTGTACAGGGATACAAATTCAATATATTTTATCCTGATTTAATAAATAAATCGGACACACCAGAATATTTTTTGGTATGTATAACTCAATACATAGTATTTAATAACTATGTAGATATACTAAGCATTGTTTTTTTATCCTTAGACACCTTGTCCTGACAACAAAGATTTTGCAATTCTACGTTTCAAAGCTGGCCCTCCATATGAAGATATTGCTTTTAAAATTGTAGCAAGAGAATGGGAATATTCATATAAGAGAGGTTTTAGGTGTCAGTTCCACAATAATGTGTTCCAGTTATGGTTTCATTTCAAACGTTATCGTTACAGAAGATAGTCATACGAAATATTATATTATTTTACAATCAATGATTCATTTGTATTATGCAAATATGGTATAATTTATGAAATAACAATTTTAATAAATTTGCATCAACTTACCTTTTCAATTTTCGTTAGTCCTCTTACATTTTCAGAAATCACAAACAAATCACATTTATGGCTTCGGTGTGGAATATTCATTTTTAAAATGTTCAAAACGCAACACTTGGATTTTACAAAGGAAGAACAAATTACCAGTTTAAAAACCTGTTAAATCAGATATTTTTATTAACTCACATGGTTTTTCACTAAATACTTGTCATTCTGGATGGCAACTATATCTTTCAAGTCAATCATTATTTATATTTAATTATTTTTTCCGGGACTTCTTATTTGACAGATTTTATTAACTCAATGACTTATTTTATTATGACTTATTCTTTCTCACATTTTGGACATAAACAGAAATAGTATTGCCATATTTTGAATTTAACCCTTAACTGTCGGATGAACCCTGTCACGTGACAACGATTGAACCAATCAAAACTCGCGTACGATTTACTTGAAGTTATAAGTAACATGGCTTTTTCACTGACATATTGTTTGTATCGTTTTTTGACGTTAATTTTCAATATAGTGAACCAAAAAATGAAAAAGAAAAATAACAGATATTCCAATAGTGATGATAGCAACGAACATTTCGAAAGTAGTTCAAATAGTAAGTATAGTATATGTAAATAATTATTAAGAGAGATATTGCATATAAGGGTTAATTCCAGTTTGTGACACTCATGTTCATTTCGCCATTCTTAAACCTTTATAAAAACATAAATTTGATTAAATAAGAAATGCACATAATATACAATATAATATATAATTTATTTACAATAAAAACTGGAACACAAGCAATTATTTCTTAAGATTAAATTGATTGGGTTCACATGCAACATTTTAAATACTCGAAACATCGATATATCTATTGTTGCAAATTAAATACTGCGAACGATGTTGTTCTCTTTTCATTATTTTGGTTATTGTCATAACAACATAAGAATAAACCTTTTACTTAATTGAACAGGAATGGAAAGTATAAAACCGTGGTTTTAATAAAAGTAAGATTATAATTTAATGATTAGAACCACTTTTGATTAAATATCAGTAAATGTAAAAGCCTCGTATAAAACGATGATATGATAACAGATAAGGCCAATATAGTGATTAAAGTACAATCTTTAGACAGTGAAAAGTTTAATTAATTGTTTATTCTAAAATTAAAATTATTATTCAATACTATTTACATAAATAGATACTCATAATACAAATATTAAACATAAAATAATTCTTGTAATCATGAGTATAATGAATACTTAATATAAATGGGTTTATTTAATAACTAATATCATTTATATAATTTATATAATAATTTGTATTCGATGTGAAAACACATAACATAACAAAAAACATTTAAACTAAAATCTGTGTAAAAGAGAACTAGTGTAAAAAAGGAATAAAATATTGATGTTCATATAATATAAATTGTATCCGATAAAAAGTCACTCAGTGATTTTAAATACTCATTAAAATTATTATCGAGCTGAATCCTATTGATAATGCATCCGTTTAATGGGGTTATACTGCGTGAGAATTATTACTGAATCCAAAAGTTAAAATGTTATACAAAAGTTTTTAGTATAGTTAAGAATATTTATATAAAAATCAATATTATCCTACCCTTTTGCGCAGTAAAACCCCAGCTTAGTATGCAAACTATAATTTTAAATCGAATAATATCACTTACACTTTTTTGCACTTACAATTATGTCAGTACATTATCATTCTTATGACATAAATCGTTACAAAAAGTCTACTATGTCGATTATTATAAATTAAAATGCTTTCTCTAGAATTTTTCTCATTATTTGTGACTATACAAGTAGTAAAGTTCGTTAAGCTTGTTAGAAATAATCTTGCAATCCTAAACATTTACAAAAATTACGATCACTTTTTCTTAAAAAACATCAAAGCTATATTTATAATAAGGAACATCATAAAAATCTTCAACGATTTTTAATTTTTCCTTACAAAGTCTCACATATAATTGTAAAAGTATTTTTAATAGATTATAATATTGTGCGGTTTGACACATAACAAATTTTCAATTTTATCAAAATTCAACAATGGCACCTCATTGACATTGTTTCTAAATTTTAGTCTTTTATGCTGTTGAAAAGAGTAAATAAAAACATTGAATATACATTTTTTATCATCCGTCCACTGCAGACCAAGAATCGGTTTATGATGTTTTAGAATCCCCATTCATTTTTGAAGTTTACTTTTTGGTATAAAATTTATTATAAAGTTTTAATTCGATTAATGTTTATATAAAATGTTAAATGATTTTATACACCCGTTCTCATGAATAAATTTCAAGTTTTGAATGCGGAAAATTTAAGGATATCTTTTTGCATTAACTTTGATTGAAAATTCTTTTAAAAATAATGTTTAAAAAGAATGGATCATAGATCGAATTATAATTTTAAGTTCTTTTATTATTGGTAAGATTATATGAGGAATCAATATTTCTTTTCTTTAATAAAATTGTCAAGAACATAAAGAATAAAATCATAATTTGCTTTTAAATGTGATTTCCAATCAACATTCAATACAGTGAGATCATATATATGTATATATAAATATATAAATATATATGTGAACATATTAGAGTCTGTTCATTTGCCTTATCATGCTTACTTATCATGCTCTTAAGTCCGAATAATACACTGTATATCATATATAAATATTCTCATAATTTGTTAAAAATGTAATGACTTAAATTTGTAATTTCAGTCAAATGCTATTACTGTCACTCAATTATATAAAAGCTTATCAGTGGCAGTATTATGAAAATTTTTTCAATAAATAAATTTCTTTTTAACTTAAAGTATAACTCGAGAAAACAAATGAAATCAAAACTAAACACACATATATATATATATATATATATCAAAATTGGCTACAATTTATATTCAAGCTATTGTGTTAAACTTTTATTTCAATATTTAAATTTATTTAATAAAAATTCAAAAATATTAAATAAATTCATTACCAAATAGCACTCGTTGATCCAAAATAACAAATTAAAATCATTGATCAAATGAACAAACTGTAATATCTCATTATCCCATGATACCTTTTATTATTGATCTTGTAATTGTTAGTTAGTGAATCAATTTCTCTTGGAGCTGACATGCCTCAGCGATCCGCAGCCATATGGTTGCAGAGTGGCGAAATGCAGTCCGTTGGCCGTCATCAGCACGCGCTGTTGAGCCTGCACGCTCTGACCGTACACAACGGCCGGGAATTGGGGCCGCTGGTGGGCACGGCGCATTTGCTGCTGCGACAGTTGTTGTTTCTGTCTCATGGTGTTGTATTGAAACATAGAACTGCTGGTCTATTGGATTGAAAGTATTAACATTAGGAACGTGATATACTGGTTTGACATAACAAATAATGGTATGAATCTGTCAATAATCTTTTACCTGGTATATGGACTCGCCGGGCGGTGGACGGATGGCGCGGTCTCAGTAAGCCGACGCCTCTTTATACTCACTGCCTTCCATGGTGAAGAAATCTTCGAGTTTCCATTGCAATGTTTCAAATGTTGGTCGCTTCATAGGATCCTTATGCCAGCACTCCAGCATAATATCATACAAGGCTGAAGGACAGTTCTGTGGGCACGGCATACGATAGCCATGCTCTACTTGATGTAATACTTCTGCGTTTGTCATACCTGGATAGATTTTAAATACAATTAAATAAAACATTCTTGTTGGATAAATAAAAGTTACAATAATTAAGTATAATTACCTGGATATGGAATCCTGCCATATGTAACCAGCTCCGTAAGTAATATACCAAATGACCAGACATCAGACTTAATAGAAAATTTGCTATAGTTTGCGGCTTCTGGCGCAGTCCATTTAATTGGAAATCTTGCACCGACACGAGCTTCATACTCATCCTCCTGTAAAAAAATATATTATTTTTGATAAAATTTATTAATTTTACTAAAGTACCCAATGAGTTTTATATATTTGTATATGTTTTCCGTACCTTTATTAGCCTGGCAAGACCGAAATCAGCAATTTTAACTACATTAGATTCAGCAACAAGAACGTTTCTGGCTGCCAAATCTCGATGAATATAATTCTGAGATTCTAAATACGCCATACCGGTCGCAATTTGAGCTGACATCTCTATCAATTGTGCCAGTTTTAATCCTCGACCTTTACCTATAAGAATGAAGTGTTTGAAGAAAATGTTTATTGTCTGATAGATCATTTTATAACAAAGATAAATTCATCATACAACATTGAACTTCAAAAATTAAGTTAATTTTTAAAAACTTTTGTATCATTTTGTGTCCAAACGACAATCATATTGAAATATTTAAATAATCTAATAATATTCCAATATTTTACATAATCAGTATTTCTAAAGAAATTTAGCAGCATTCAATCATTCTAACCTTGTAAATATTCTAGCAATGATCCGTTCTTCATTAACTCTGTTATGATATAGATCGGTTCTTCCATTGTGCAAACAGCGAATAATTGAATAAGTTTTAAATGTCGCAGTTTTTTCATGATTTGAGCTTCAGCCAAAAAGTCTTTGGGGTCCATTGTGCCTGGTTTTAAAGTTTTTATCGCTACTGGAGTTGTGTTGTTCCATAAACCTTCCCAAACTTCGCCAAATTGGCCATGACCAAGCTTGCGTACAAATTTCAGAGACGTCCTGTCTATTTCCCACTGATCTCGTGTACGATGAGAAAGACCCTCCGTCACTGGTTTTTCGATCTAATAGAACGATATAGATATTTAGCCAAAGTATGTAAGAAATTGATAAAAATGATTATTATGATCACGATGACGAGTAATCTAAAATAAAATCATTATAAATAAATAATAAACCAAATATAACTTAAAAAACTTTTTTTGATAGCAATTTACCTGAACACATGGTTTGCATAAATTGACACATAATCCGTCGGGATCTTTGCTATAGTGCTCGACTAGTTCTTGCAATGTCCTGAATGTTGTTCGACGAGCAATGAAAAAACCTCCTTCATCCAATTGCCTTATGCGGTAATGTTTGACGGTATCACCATCCCGTACTAAGAAAATAACATAAAAAATAAATTTAATGTTTTTATAACCAGATTTTACTCGTACTCGTTTCTTTAGTTAATATTTATAGAATTATCAGGAACCAAAAAACAGCAAAGAAACAAAATATTGATAATATATTATGTTTATCACAGATACTGATACATTACCTTGTACTAATAATAGACAATCATTATTTGAAAAATGATAATTATCATGTGCTAAATGAGTAAATACTTTATATACTTGAAATTTCGGCAAGGTTTTTAAAAAATACTCAAAAAATGAATCAACATTACATTAAACATACAGTCATCCAACAAGGCAAATATGCAAACATGAAGATAAAATTATTGTGACTCACCTGATAAAGAATAATCGTTGTGTCTGCTTTCTGAATCACGAATCAGGAAAGCGCCGTGTTCATTTTCCGCCAATAAAAGTTTTTTCTCGGCTTCTATACGCTTTATCTTTCGGAAATACCATCTGAAAATAATAAATATCAATTAGTATAATTATATCAATAAGGTTTCGCAAGGTGTAATATACTATTGACCATCAAAGTGCGTTAAACTACCAAGGATGATTCTCAATTATTCAATTAAATTTTCAAATATAAGAGATCTTACAAAACTCTTAAATTGTAACGAATGTAGCTGTATACGAAAGTTGATGTATTAATAATTAATTTGGCTAATTTTTATCAAAACCTTCAATTATTTTAAGCAAAATTAATAAATTACAAACTTTATTCAATTATTATTGGAAGTTTTCGAATTTCGCAAAGGACCTCGGCGCGTGTACAGTCCAGAACCGCAATGCTTTAATATGCGAACAATGTCATCAGTGAAAACGATGTGAGGTCACAAACTTTCGTTGGAGTCTTTGCACGCGTTTGGGGTCAAAAATCGTTAGCTATCGTTAAAAACACTAGAAGAACAGAACTAATATAAATAAAAAATAGAATTTTTGTTTTTTCTAAAAAAGTGGATGTGATCTTTTATATGTACTTTTGAATCATTAGTAAATTTATTTAAAAATCACAAGTATTTTTATATTAAATAAAATAATTCAGCCACATTAAAAAATCTAATGTTATCAAATAACTGAATATAATATAATATTATAAAATATTTCTCTAGTTTATATCCATATTTTTTAATTTTAGACATGCTAATTTTTACCTCAAGAAGTTTTTCACACTGATAACAGTTTTAAATCTCATTTGTCAATACAAATTACCGCATGTATTTGTATAGACAAACGCAATGGGATTACGAAGAAATATAAGACATTAGATTACAAAAAATATTATCCGAACCGTTAAATATACTGAAGTACATGTTTTGAATATAATTACATATAATGCATTCGTTAATAAAGAACATACATCACGAATTAGAGAATTGAATGTTCAAATATATGCGCAGCAGACGAGCAATGTAATTTTAACAAGATAATAGACAAGAACTAGTAAACTAGTCAGGGCAGATTTTCTAATTGGAATATTACAGCAAAGCTCTAAAAAGCTGTTTTACTTGAAAACAGATTGCTATATTTTTTCAAATGAAAATGGATATCACTGCTGCTTGATATTAAGTTAGATATGGAACTTGGAATTTCTGATTGGAAGCCCATATCTCTAACTCAATAGTATTATTTATATAATAACTGCAAAATGTGCTCACTATTGTTCCACTTGATTACGAATATATAACACAATTTTTAAAAAATGAGAAGTCATAGAGTTGATAAAAAAATAACAAAATTATAGAATTAATAGTAAAAACCTTAGATATTTAACCTCGATGCACATTCCCAAAAATGGCAATTGAAAATATAGAATTTCCACTTTCAGTGGTAAACTAGTAAAAACCGAGACGGATATCAAACTAGCAACTTTTAATCAAATTCCCATAACTCTTTTCCAAAATATTTTCTTATTATTTAAGAATCTTATCAGTGACAAGACAAACCATTTCCTCGGTAAATCCGGAAATCCTGCGAGAAAACAAATTCAACATTCAATTGAATTCATTTTTGATTATGTAAATTATAGACAATATTGACATATATCAATACATATTGAAGTTAAGGACAATGAAACATGTCATTTCTTATGAATTCTATGCAGACAATCGATTCTTTCGATTAGTAAACAATAGGTCTTCTACCGATTTTCAATCGTATGTATCGCGATGATGGATCATTTGACGAATTGCAAGCTAAGCCGACGCTTGTTGCATTTTAATCACTTGCAAATATGAAGAAAATACCTCCAATAGAAAAATGACACCGTCGGTAACGGAAAACGACCTTGCGATATTCTTGTAGATATAAACTTATAAAAGACACAACACATGTAAAAGTACATATACGTTGACATTCGAGTCTGTTTGATTCCGTTGACCTGATAGAAGCGTGATTTAGAACCAGGAGCGCGTATATCCAACTTAACAGTTTTATAATTTACCAAGTATGCAATATTTGAATACCTTACTGGTGACGAGTTTTATTTTCAACAATTGAGCACGTATTATATTTATAAACATCAAAAATAAAGTACTAAAATTATTGATAAAAATGGGTTAGTCTAAATTTAGTTTGGCAATTCATTCATAATTTTATCTATTTATTTTATTAATACGATAAAAGGAAAGTATTGATTCTACAAGTGGGTGACTCTTGTGAAAAATATTGAGTCTACATTTTTATGATTTTAGTATGGAGAAACTCAAACTTGACATCTGTGTCATCTGATACTTCAACTATATTGTACTTGTTTCTTTATCTCCAAGATACCATATTATTGTTATTTTAATTTTACAGCAATTAGGAGTATTACATGGTCTATAATAAACTAATTTGAGCACAGCTTATTTCTAAAAGTGATGTAAGAATGGAATCCATTGATTGTCCTTGCTATCTGAGATATAGTTTTCATTTTTAATTAGTAGGCAACCCTAGAGTAGACTTTATAATTGGAACATTACAGCAATGCTCCAAAGTGCTGTTTTACTTAAAAACAGATTGCTATCTATTTTTTCAAATATCAATACAGCTTGATATTAGGTTGGATATCGAACTTGGAATTTCTGATTGGAAGCCCATACCTCTAACTCATCATTTATTTAATATTATTATAAATATTTGTTTATATAATAATTGCAAAATGTACTTACTATTGTGTCACTTGATTGCGAATATTATGATATAAATCATAAGCCTGATCAAAAAAATAACAAAAATATAGAATTAATAGCAAAAACGGCAATTGAAAATTCAGAATTGCCACTTTCAGTGGTTATCTATTGGAGATCTATGAATAAAAATTTCCGTTTATATGAATGAATTCATCATCATCGGTAATCAATAGATCTGAGCAAGCTTTGCAAAAAGAAACAAACAAACAAAAGTACATTGATATCAAAATCCCCTAACGGTCAAATTCCAAATTTCTAACGTATAATATTTATGTTTAAATAGATTAATATACAAACGTAATCAACAGATTGTGAAACTTTGATAATATTTGTTATGTGTATACAATCAGATAGAGCCGTTATGAAGATTTACTATGGCTCGTTACAAAGTGGCTTCTGGTTCGAGAATTCTTCAAGAAGAATTTGTTGCAAGTTCGGCTTGCCTTTGATAGTGCTGGATTATGTCATAATTAAAAAACGCATTTATTATTGGAGAAAAGAATTTATGAATTATGATTTTATAATGGTCAGACAAATTTAATAAAAATATTTCATATATTGTATCTCGTTGTATTGTAAATATAGAGACTAGAAATTTAAGTAAAAATAATCATATTATACTTTTAGTGAATCCTATATTATCTTTATTTTAGTGAATCCTATATTATCAGCACATCTCAATGGAAAGTATAAGGTTGGCAACTAAGTAAATGATACTTTTTTCATAAATTCAACGACAAATTTCTCATGAAAAATAATAATTTTATTTTGTAATGTATTGCAAATTTTGATCAATGGCTTTCAGGCAGCATCATAATCCCATAAAAACATAAAACTTCTGGCTTTCAATTATCAAAATACTGAATCAGGAACAATTTGACGTCATCATCATTATTAAAGTTCTTTCCGTTTAAAGTTTATAATGAAGATTGTAAGAATATAGATATCATTATAGTCCAGTCATTATAGTAAGTTCACCTCAGAATTCGAGATACCCAGCTGTAAGTCTGTAAATACTGTATATTGACACCCTAAAGTTGTCTCAAAACCTACATATGGTATTGACACCCTACCATATGTAGGGTATCTAATTTAAACTTAAATGAGTGGACTATTAACTTGAATAATTTTTTGGACCAAAATACTTTAAACCAAAGATAGCCAGATTTTGCTTAGCTTAGTACCTCGGTCTTAACATTTATATTTTTATGTCCATTATTCTCTGAAATGATCTTCACCAGCTTTTGGTTTATAAGATCTGCTTATACACGCATCGTATAAGAATTCTTGTCGCCCAAGGTATATAATTATGTGCGACAATGTAGTTACTACGAACACGTAAAATTAACTTCCTTGTTTTTGTACAAAATTATCATGCTTGTTTTGGTACGGAACGCTGACAAGTTAACTGGGTCATCTCGCAAAGGCCGGCAGTGTTTGTTGGTACACAGATGGAAGCTAATAAAGCAATATATCTTGATTTTGTTAATGAAGATCGCTTGCATCTCCAATAAAATAGTTAACAGATTTATTTTTAATATATCTTAAGGTGAGATAAAGTATGAAATAAATCTTAACAGTCGCGTATTTAAAAATAAAGTCAAAAAATTGATAAAGGAATAATCTAAATTTGCAAAAAAAGTTCAAATATAATGCATATTTATTATGTCTATAGTTTATAACAACCTTGCACAAAAATTAAATGTGTTGAAAGTACCTATATAGAATTAACTCCAATGCCAACTTCAAATAATTTCCATGAGTTGGATGATTTACCAATAACTATTACCATTGTAAAATGCCATGCAAAAATATTATTCCCATTATCTTTTACAAATTTTATTTCAAAATTAGGTTTTCGACAAAATTGCTTATTCATATGATCCAAATCGACAAATAATTGTTATAAATTATTCTATTTCAAAATTTTCCGATTACCTAAATGAACGAAAAAATATAGATCTCTTCCTGCTGCATACGAATATTGTATTTTTCGCACATATCAATGAATTACATCTAAGCTTCTATTACAGTCGAGGTCGATATCGCGTTAATTTCGTTATGAAATCATTATTAAGTAATCAGGCAAATTTAGTTATTTTAGTTACAATTATTGTTAACTTGTATTGCATAAAAATTTCACATGCCGGCAATAAAAACGCATTTTTAATAACCCAATAGAATTTTAATGATTGGATAAACTTCAATGATATTCCAAATTGCGTAATAAAAATATGTTTTGAAGGCGTATTTGTAGAAAATTGATAAATTATACATAACGGTTACCACAATAACACTCCACTTTCACTCGACTCTATCGATTCTAGAACATAAAGAATTCGAAACACAATTTAAACCTGATTAATTATACCGTCAATTAAGTATGTTATTTGCATTTGCAGAGACATACCAACATGCCGTAATGATGTAAACTACTAAATAGTAATGACCATATCAATTTTTTTTAAATATGAATATTTTACTGGAAAGCTCTTAATTTTCTGATAATGTGCCATCATTCTAGAATTCCATTTCACACGAGTTTTAAATATGTAGAGAGGAGACATATAGTTTCCCACAATTGAAATATGAACATTAAATTTAACTTAAATGAGAATTACTAAACTTTCAAAGAATATATTTTTCAAAATACATAATCACTCACGGATTTTGTGATTCAGGATCCGTCAACTTCCTTCTAACATCCTTGGTTTCCTTGTTTAAAAGTTTCTCTAATTCAAAGCTAGCCCTTCTCTTTACATTTTCGATAGCCAATAACCGTCTTCTAGCAGAACCTGGGATCGCGCTGCCTTCGGAAAACCTCCTAAGGTTACTTGCTGATTCTGTCAACTCAGGGCGAGGACTACTGGATATTCCTCTCTTGACAATATCATATAAAATAGAAGGTTCGGTTAATCTTATGCAAGAATTTCTCCTTGATGCTAGTTCCTCCTCGTTCTTCTTTACATCGTATATAGCTTCATCAATCACAGCTTTACTATGTCGCCTGCCGGCACGAACAAATATATCTGAAATTTTTCTTCTGATTCGTTCATGTCTCGTAGGTCTATGAGGAATATGGGAAACTACATCACCCTCGGTGGATTTCAGAAGTCCAGCTCTGACTTCCGCAATTGTGTGTCTTCTACCAAAGTTCGGCACTTCACCACCACTAGGAAAACTAACTTTTCTTCGCGGCATCGGCGGTTCTTTTTCGAGTAAAGCGACTTCGCCGTTCTCATCTCGGAATGGCCTCGCTCCTTGAGGTGGATATAATACGGAGCGCCTGCGCTGCCGCTTATTTGCTGAAGTTTGATCATCTCCAGCTTCTTCTCCGTCTACCATTTTGGTTAGCGTGTTAAAATCTACTATTTGTTGATGACGATGATCACCCAATTCAGCACCATCTAGTGCGGTGCGGTCTCCATCTAGTACCAACAGTTTATCTCCAATTATCTTAAGAAAATTTGAAACTGCTTGCATACGATCCTCTGTGATCTCTCCTTCGAATTTGATCGCCGATAATTGATGGGGAATTAGACGATTGTCTTGATAGCAATACACTACCGGCAAATTCGGATTAGCATTTACGGTTGAAAGCATCGTCACATGTATGGCAAAAAACAGGCGGATCAAATTAATATTCCCGATATGCGTATTGTACACAATAAGAAAAGTTTCTGTACCAAGAATAGCTTAATTAATAAATAAAAGCGTTATATCGCACTCACGGACAAACAATGCACAATAGTGTGGATAAATTATATATAAATTTCTTTCTATGAAAGAGTGTGTCTTTCACATCGTTACTGCAAGACGCGCTCTACAATTTCACCAAGAAGTACGTTCATTGTTCAATGACAACACGGGATTTATGCATAAATTCATGTTAAAAGTCACATAATGACGGCAACCAAAATAAAATAATGCAAAGCATGCACTATTATTTGATCAAAACAAAAAATGAATATGAAAATGCACTAAAAACGCTCAAATTAAAAATTGCGACCGACTCCAGAGTTTTGGACGCGTGCACAACGATGACTGCTCGAGTTCGATGTCAGCGCCGGACCGGTGAGTATAGTTTATGTGTGAGCATCTTCCCACTCCGTGCAACATCGTCGCATTGCGATCACCTGCTTGGACTCTTCTTCTCTCGCTCTTCGGTACGTGTGATACGATCAGGTGACCGCTTCCTCGCCGGACGACTGACACGCGAACAGCTGATGTCCACTGCGGTAACCGGAGAGCTGGACAACATACTAGACTGCATTCTTGAGGAAGGTTGAAAATTCGCGTAACACTTATTTTAAATCAGATTCTTTTCACTTCTAAATTTTTAAATGTAGCATTAGCTCGCGTGTGTTACTTTGAACTCGGTTGAACTAATTGCCAATTTATGCAAACTAAATATTTCATCAAAGGTAGAACAGAATATATACATTGAGCATTTTGTAAGATGAAGTTTATTGATGTCACTAATCCTTATACATATATAAATATTAACTGCAAGAAAGCAATGACTTACGCAATTTTTTATCAATATTATTCGTCAGAAAAAAATCACAACTATGATGACGGATTTATTCGGCTAGAGAGACTAGACCTGAACCAGAGGTCACGGGTTCGATCATGCTTCGAGGAGCTTGATGTCGAATAGTAGTGACATCGGAAAATAGTGAAAATCTAGATAGTAATATTTTCCTAATAAATATAGCCTTCATCCGATCTTGCTGTATCAATAAAATATTTGCTCTATTACAAAAATTGTAATAATAAAATTTATCATCCCGAGAGACAACTGTTTGAGTTGCCATCTGTAAAATTGACGTAGTATTAAGTAAAATCACCACAACAGCTTATAGGACTCGTGAGTTCTGATTGCTGTTCAAAGTAACAAAAAAAATTCTATGATGACAAAGTTTGAGTAAACAACTTCGTACCAAAGAAATTGAGTCTTGAAAAAAAGCTATTTCATTATTAGTAGATTCTTATAAGATCCTAACAAACATCCAAATAAGAATCAATAGCCCCTGATGAAGTACCAATAGCAAAAGTATATAATCATCAGAACTTCACTTATCGCAATTTTCTTAAGATTTTCACCAGCTCCCCATTACAAATATCTGCACTTTTAACATATTGCACTCAAATAATGTTATTTCGAGATAAACGATTAAGATTATTTGTCACTGAGTGCGGATTAAAGATAACATCTTGCACCAAATAAAAGCTTGTGATTTTATTGGATTTTGAAACTCATTTATCACATTAGACTATAGCACAATGCAATCTGCTAAAACCAAAGTCGAACTTGTTGCCAAATAAATATGAGAATATAAAATATGATTGTAATAAGATAATGTAATAAAATAAAAGTGCATTGTTATACTTAATTGCAGAAATGTTAAGAGGCTATGAAAACTAATTATAAAAATAAAAACAAACATATACAATGGCATCGATGTTAGGCAATACTATGTGTACATATTCCTAAAAACATTTCAGGAACCTGCGTAAATGAAGCTCAATTATATAGATAAATAAGATAAATGTAGCTTTTTATTACCATTTTCGACTCTCTTTACTACATAATATGACAAAATTTCCCCCCCCGTTTCATATAAAATTTCATAAGAATATTTTCTAAATTATCTTCGAATTTTTCTATGAATCTACAATTCCTGCGCAATTCTCACTTGTAAAAATGTAATCGAGTAATCTTGGCGCCTTCGCATAAGTTTTAACAAACACACAGCAGTGTTTGGCGCCTTTGCATTTTTAAACAAAAATGACATCGATTTCTTGGGCGCCATTGGCAGGCTTATGTTTTAAACATAAGTATTTTCTATAATATTATGGAGTTTTACTTATTTAAAATAAGTTAGATATACAATCCGGCGTTAGCAACGAATGTCTGATAATAAATTTCAACGATTTTAATCTTTTGTGTTGAAATTCTTAGAAATAATCAAATTAAACACTTGACAAATCGATCAGATAATTATTTTTAATTTAGCCATGATATCAATACAAATAATTGTTATAATTAGATACTTGTTTACATATTATCTTCGGATAACAATCAGCAGAATTTCGAAAAATTTAACTGTATTAGTTTATCGTACGTACCAAAGTTAAATTAAATTCTAAATTTAGAGATGACAAATATCAGTTGTGATACTAGACTAAAAATTATTTATAATTAGATATTATTGGAAAAAGATACCGATCAATAATATTGTCTCGTACAACTATATGCTAAAAAATCATCATTTGCAAAATGATACAATCTCAAATGAACCGTTAGCAAAAATTTTATTGTAAATTGGAACCCTGAGTTTGATATGAGTATCCGGCGCCGATTCAACGTCGCCGTCGTGCCGAGTTTCATATATTAATATCGAATTTATGTCATTTCTATCTATAATCAACTCACTTAAATTTCTAGGTGTCATATAGTTTTAAAACATTACATGACCTGTGGCCAGTCTGCCAATCGGCCGCCACCAAGGCATGGAAATTCGAATCTTTTGCAATACGATGCCGGAAGATTAATCAGGACAGAATAGTAGTAGCAATTTAGTACTTTCTGATCATTGTAATCAGTAAGCAAAAATAAAATGTTACATAATTTGTTGAGAATAGGTACATAGTTGAGTCAAAATAAAATCATACTTATTTCAAATGATTTGGCAATTGCACAATTTTTTAAACAAGGCTATTCCTATTTTTCTTCCTATTCTTTTAATTTACAGGTTGTGTGGATCTCTATTACCAGAAAAGATTGAACAACAGCATGATTCATTGTTATGAAAATAATTATATCAAACAAACGATTATAGCGATTTATAATCATAATTTGTTTGATAAAATAGTTGTTCTTTAAATACTTGTTAATGCTTGATTATAAAATGCTTTACTATCATTACTGATAAAGTTAACCATTTAAAACCTATGACTCAGACTGGTTTGGTAGTTTTGACACGATTCATATTACAAACATGACACCATACAATAAAAACGATAAATTAACGTTTAAATGATATTTGAAAATTCATTGAACTTATTTTTATAAGATTCAATCATATTTAAGAAACGATACTCCCAAACTGTTTAATTTTTGTTGAAATTTGTAATTTCAGTTACAATTATGAAATGAAAAGTGTGAATGAAAGAAAGAGTATTGTTTAAACATATTTTCGAGTGCAGCTGGGATTTTTACGTGTTTTCAAATATATTTAAAAACATGTTGAATAATAATGGGTTTTACATTATAGAGAATCCAACGAGATTTTTCTGTTTAAATTCTTTTTCAAAAGAGAAAATATCCCATTATATAAACCGCGAACCAAAACAAACAAGATTGATAATATTTAAAGAATTTTTAAATGAGCCTTCAAAAACTTTTTATTTCATATTTTAATGAGAAGTAAAAAAAAAATAGGAACCTGAAGTAATGTTCAATTCTTAAAGACTCATTAGTGTGCCTTTTATTAAAGTGAGGTTAAACTACATTCATGTTTGAGAATTTTTTTGATTCTCATAATACATTTTTATTTTAATTCCTAACAATAGCTTTGTCCAAGAATACATGATTCCATTCAGTGCAATAAAGTAATTTACAAAAATTCGCATAACCGTCGAGATTTTGGTTGAATATAATGTATATTGTTACATTATTCAGACACATATGTCCCGGAGAAAGTAATATGTAAATTTTTCAAATCTCATACTAATATCTTCAGTAGTAACAAAACACGTAATTTAGAGATAAAGATGTACAATTACAGAATATGTGTCAGAGGTGCGATTATTCTTTATTTGCAAATACGTGTATTTTTCAGATGAAATAATACCTTTTGGTGTACAAAATAAATTTATTTGATAATATATGTTATTTAAAAGAACCTTAGCAGAAAGTACTTTTTAACTAATCATAAGCAATAAAATAAAAAAATCTTTGACGTCAGACTACAGTGCTTTATAATAAATACTATCGCGTATCCTATAGTGGGTTTGAGAATCAAAAGTATTGTTTTTAAAAGTATGTTAGTATTATGCACCTACTATAAATACTCATAACACTGTGCTCTAATTTTCGCTAGAAAAAAACAGTCTTGACATTTTTTTTTCTGAGATATAAAAATGACATCTGCGGTTTGCAGTGCCTACTTTTTCCCATACATTTGCTGAAATGATTATCAGTTCACTGTTATTGTGAATTTTGTCGCAAAAAATATATGCTAATCATATGAAATACGTAGAATTGTTTGAAAATGTGATTAATAATATGAGTTTTGAAAATGAAAGCTTTTCCTAGAAAACCAGCAGCCAGCTTCCTTCGCGGATGTGTCTGAATTGACCTTAGCCTTTCACGCACTGATGTAAAATAAATAATTAAACGAATATTACGTCAAATAGCTTTCTGATTAAATATTTTAAGGCTAAATGAACGTTAAATATAATAAATAAAGTCTATATTCAAAATCGACTACAACAGTAAATAGCAAACATTATGAAAGATCATCTGCAATTGAATTATATTATAGATGATTATTCTATAAACTTTTGCAACAGCAAATATGGTGATGAATGCGGTAATCATATTAAAAATAATTCTATTAATGTTTCGTACAAATTAATTATATTAGCACTTATGTGTATGAAAACCTTAATTAA